ATAAGCTAGATATATTATTTATAGTTAAGACTTGTGGCTAAGAGCTTAACTTAGCGGACAGAACTTAGCGCAGACCAGGGCCATGGGCCTGCAGACTTCTCCTGTCTATGTCATACAGAGGGACCCCTGGAGTGATGGTACCACTGGAAGCTGCCGCCGCGGTGAAACAGCCGATCAAGAAAAGAGCTGAAAGCATGATGTCAGGGTTTATTTTCTTTCCGATGGTGCTGCAGTGGTATTTCCTTAGACAACCTCAGATTCTGGAAGACCAAACTTATGATGCTTTGCGTTATGCGTTTTAATATGTTTTGTTGCTATTGCAAGAATCATCTCAATCTTCACACTCCCCGAAACTTCATCCGGTTCCCGAGAGGTCGCAAACAATGTTATGCCTGTGATTAAAGACTTCGTCTATGACTTCTTGCTATTTCACCCCAAGGCTTACCCCATGATCCCCCAACGACAATTCTCGTATTCGAAGTGTGCGGTACAGGAACAAGTGCAGGGGCATCAACTAGTTCCAGTCCAAATTTGCGTAGTCAGGCTAGCCACCTAATTACCATCTCCAGGTCTTGAGAAAGTATTCCGTAACCCGTTGTTCATTCGCGATATCTCGTGACCTTTTCCTCACTTGTCGATTCTTGGACGACATGAGGTTAGCGAGATCATACGAGAACGCTGCTTGAGTACTTCAATAAACATGCAATAGAGTAGCCCTCCATTAGAATCTCAGTGTGTTTGATCATCTTGGGTACTACGAGTGTGACTCATATCGGTCTACAAGATAGTTACTCAATTCATCGCAGGCGGTGTCTCTAGGGTTGAGGATCGACAAATGCCGACGAAGTTGTTGGACAAGATTGGACTGATTTCCAAGCTCGGGTCCAGTTCGATGCTTAGTGCGATGCACACTTTCCGGGTGGCCTTCAAAGATCGGGCATCGGGCTATATCCCATTTGAGCATAGACTACTTTGACAGCCAATTGGCCATTTGTCGTCTGAGTGAACTTCCCCATGGGGTTTGTCGCTTTGACCTCTTCAAACATATGGGGAATTAGAGCGATCTCCTATCGATTCGAGTGAGAATTGGGGGCAAAAACATTAGACAATACCCGTACTGGGCTGTGTGTTTTGAGGGAAACTACACAGTGATGGCGACGAGAGAAATGACTTAGAAGTGAATTGCAAAAAGCGTTCACTGGGTTAAGACACTATAATTATAAAGGAAGCTAATGTTGTACAATAAATTCCTCTCTTAGCAATAATATCTAACAAAATATTATTTTATATCATGAAGCCTCTTAGCTATATGTCTACCGCTTTTGTCTTTGCCTCCCCTCTGTGGGCGACGTAGATACACCCTAGAGATGCCTCAAATTAGCCCAACGGCCCCTTCAACACCGATGGCCGCTAGGTCGTTGATGCTCCCGGACAACAAGTCTATTTTCCCGGCGTCAGTTGGCCTGGAGCTGCCGAGGTCATGATTCTAAAGGAGCTGTAGTAACGCCCAGTCGAGCAGATTGTGTCCCAGATAAAGAGTGTCAGCTTCAACGCTGTGCGCCTAAAGTATGCCATCGAAATGGTGGATCAGATATATGATAAGGGTAGTCAAGATATCAGCATCGAGACCGTCTTCTTAATGGCTTGATCCTTAGGTCACTGTATACGGAGTATTGGGTTTTGTGATCTAAAATTGTTCATAATCATTCCTCTTTGAGCCACTTGCCACCCTTTACTGTAGGCTGCATACACTCATCAAGCTCATAAACAATAGGTGTCCCTGTAGGAATATTCAGCTCCACAACCTCTTCGTCCCCCAAACCATCAGTAATCTTTACCAGTGCACGAAGCGAATTGCCGTGAGCCGCGACAAGCACAGTCTTGCCAGATTCCAGGTCAGGAATGATGCACTCCTTCCAATATGGTTCTACGCGTGCCACCACATCTTTCAATGACTCTGTTCTTGGGGCCTGGATAGATTGGTCCTGCAAGCTCGTATACGCCAGCTGCCTCTGGTAGGCATCGTTAGACATTGGGGGCGGCTGGACATCGTACGAGCGCCGCCAGATCTTGACCTGCTCATCACCGTATTTCTTCGCCGTGGTCTGTTTATTGAGGCCTTGTAACGCGCCGTAGTGGCGCTCATTGAGTCTCCAGCTTTTCGTAACGGGGATCCAGTGGCGGTCCGCTGCATCGAGCGTGATATTGCACGTTGTGATGGCACGTCGTAGTAGCGAGGTATGACACATGTCTGGCAGGTGATTGTGTCTCTTCAAGAGCACGCCGGCCTGAGTTGCTTCATCGCGGCCGTTTTGAGTGATACCGACGTCTTCCCAGCCTGTGAAAAGGTTTTTTTCATTCCAGGTGCTCTGTCCATGCCGAAGAAGTATCAACTTGAAAGTCATTATGATTTAGGGATTCGTTTAACATGGTGTTCAATGGAGAGTAAGCATCGTTTTATAGACGCTCAAAAACCGCTGGTTGGTGTTAGCTGACACCTTGATGAACACCCGAAAATTCCGAATAGCAAACTGACGTCACCGAGTTTGTGAGCGCGAGGAGGCCAATTGTCCAATGGGAGATTACTCTCATGTGTTACATAGCAATATGGCTCAAAGGCCGGGTGTATACGGATACTTGTCTGGTGCTGGCAATATTTGCCGCGCAAATATAACTTCAAAACCCCGCGCAATTATACCGATATAAAATTTGAGTTCGAATAGACTGGTCTAAGCTCACGTAAAGTATACTGAACTTACCTAAGTCCTTCCCTTACTCGTTATACAGGTCCTCAAATTCTTAACTCATCTTTTCTATTCTGGCCTTGTATGTCTAAATAGAGAGCAGCGATTACTGTCCTTATATTCTTTCGACATTTCTCGGAACTCCAAGTTCTCTGAGCGACTTCGTGAGGCCAAGCTTTACCCAGTTGTCAATCTCTTTCTCGGTAGCCACGGCGATTATCCCCAACATACCCAAAGAATTCACGCCGGCCTCTTTGTTGACAGCCGCGTTACGACGAGGGATAACCACTATCCAGCGAGACGTGAAAGCCACATTGTGCGGGCACGCCTGTCCATCCGGCACATCCTTTCCGGTGCTAGCCTTCCAAGCTTCTGTCGCCTGCTGTAGAAGCTGCACATAGGTATCGGTCACTTTCGAAGCTGTTGCAGCACTGCCTTGAAATCTGTGGTAGAACCATTCGAAAGGTAATCCCGGTTCTTTGATACTGTCTGAGTTCAGAAAGTCGACGGCAAAGCCACTGGCGGGAAGAGGCATCAGCTGTACATGCTTGTGCAGTCGGCTACACCCACCATCTTTGCCGCAGTTGAAGAACACAACATATTCTGTTGTTGATGTTTCCAATAACGCCAAAGTGCCCCACGCAGCTTCGAAGTCACCCTGGTTCAGAGGCTCATATTGCCTACGGTGCCCATCGCGAGTGAGCATCATGAGATGAGGTCGTGAGAAGCAAAATTTGTTGGAGATAAGAAAGTGAGTGCTACTCTCACTGTCGCCCATCTCGAAGCCATTTGTTTCGATGTCGCTACCAGGGAGGAGCTGTTTCTCATTCGAGAGGCCGTTTCCGGGCACAGATGACTGTTCTGGTGTAGATAAGGTCGGCTTCTTGATAAGAGCTTTGGTGAGAATGAAATGGAACTAGATGCCAATTGTGCCCATGTCAGCGACTTCTGACTACAGTACAAGCGTTGTCATAAGAAGCGAACCTTCAGGTCTCCCTCCACGTGCTCAACAACCTTTTGGGTTTCATCGTAGAGAACGAGTCCGGACTTGGTCAAGGCATCAAATGTGGATAACAAAGCCGATCCATCGGTGGTTAGTGCAGGGCGGTCGTATGTCATGGTGTCTGTGCTGGAGTGGATTGGATACTGTTTCGAGGGTGAGATGTTTTTGTGTGAGATGAAAGCGAAGCATATGGGGGATAATGAGATTATATGCTTACGGAATGACTAATCTACCTGAGGTGCTTATCATTTTGCTACTGGTGGCCTTGTCCTGAATTGTCGGTGTGCAACAGCGCTTTATGGTACAGTCATACAACGTAATAATTTATGCAACATTGCCATTTGTCATACTTTATTCCTTAGCCAACAACCCGTGTTTCCACCACGAAAGTGACCAGATTGCAGATTATATCCATAATTAAATATAGGGTGAAAGAATTGCTCGGTTTCTGCGAAATGGCTGGGATGAACTATACTAGTTGAGAATTTAGGCAGATGCTTTGGCGCCATCGCCCTTTTCTCCTGTTTCGGCAGCATTGGACGGTCCAGAAACCATTGGCTCTGCCGCCTGATTACTTCCGTTATCGCTCGAGTGTGCTTCTTCAAATACTCTATCATCATACGCACGGAATACCAACCAGAAGGTAGGCGCTGTCGTAATCATTGTCACAGACAAACCCGTGTAGAGATAGAGAATCTGAGGATCCTTTGACAATGGCGAGAATGCCATCCCAAGCGCAGAGCCAGCGCCCGAACTCAGCTGGGCCATGGCTTGTACTAAGCTGCGCATGTTCCTAGGTGCCTCAGAATAGCTGTACTCGGCAAGAGTTGTGAAGCCCAGAATCTCGGCGACTCCGAGGAGAAAGTAGACGGGCGACTGAATCCAGACACTCACGTCGTTGGGCGACTTTTCACACTGCAAGGGCTTATCGTAGCAAGCCCCCTTAGTGTAGATGAGCTTTTGAACTCCAGCAGCATATGCCATTGCAGTACTCATCATGATGAAGGCCCATGTTATGCGCGCAATTGGGCCAAAAGCGAATCCCCGACCGCGGACAATGGGATACACAAATCTCTGCATGATTGGTCCCAGCAGTACGCAAGCGATAGAGTTTAGAGCTTGGATAGTATCGTTGGGGATACCACCGAGCCTCATTTGCCCTGCTTGGGAAACAAGATTGTTTATGATCTGATTCATACAGAGATGGAATGGCACAAAACAGGCCCTTACATCGATTAACATGGGGATGAAGATTTAAGAAAGCCATTAAGGGGAGGGAAACTCACATCACTTTACAAGCCTGGAGACCTCTCTTGATCTCAAAAACAAATTTGTCATCCCACTCGACCTGGCGGCCAAACTTCTCTGACTGGTAGACTGGTGTAGCAGCTTCCCAGTCAAACTTGTGTCTTCCCGCACAAACGATAACTCGGGACGCGCGCGGAAGGATGTTTGCTTGAGGTTTTTGTTTAACTTGCTTTATTAGAGATCAGGACCAACTCAGAGGAGGGGAAAACATACTGAGCGATTTGTGAAAGATTAGAAGTAAAGGTACCAGTGTCCAGGTCGCGCAAAGAGGTAGCAAATACGCAGCCCAAAATCCCACGAGCTTCTCTAAATAGGTGGAGGCAACAAGTGATAAGCTTGCTATATTGGTGAGCCTGCGGTAAAAGTGTCAGTTTTGTGCCTTGATCGTTGCAGAGCTTCCTACCAGTATGACACGTTGTAAATATACTGAAGTGTGAGCGCCCGGTCTGCAATAACGAGCTCCCCTTTCTTGGTGGTGATAACTTGAGGAGCAGTTTCAGCGTATTGGTCACCTATGAATGGGGAGGCGGTAGCCTTTACACCGGCAGTGCCAATTCCAAGGACAATCATGGCAAACCCCAGTCCCACCACCTTGGTGATCTGGGAGTGGCTAAAGGCCGGCAGGGACGTAACAAAGATGATCAAACAGCCGCAAAAGTTCAAACTGTAGTCACCACCTCTCAGTATTGATCAAGCTTAGCTTTCAACGGATACGTGTAGACTTACAAGTAGCTCAAGCAAAGCGTTCTATGACGCCCCAGCCATGTGTCCGAGATGACAGCCCAGACAGTCGGGAGAAGGAAACACAAGAAGAGAAATGCACTAGTAATGTTTGTAGCAGTTGCCTGCCCTAGCCCCAAAGCGCCAGGAACAACGACGCTATCAGCGGGATTCTGTATGTAGTTCTCTGCGCGGAATATAAGTCAGCGACTCAGCAATGATAGGACATACAAAAGTCAGACTGCATCGATGATACGTACGCCATGGCGTTGTTACGGCATAGAAGGTGAATCTCTCCGTAGCATTAGCAACGAGTGCGACCCAGACTGCTAACGAAACTGAATCTACGACGTGTCGCAGCTCTTTGATCTCCTCTTCTGTCGCGTCTCGCCTTTCGTGCTGAGGGTGCTGAGTCACCATGATGAGAGAGATCCTCGGCGAGGCAAAGCACTAGACGCTAGATCGATGCTGTATCTGAGCAAATAACTTTCAAATGATTCCGAGAATGCTGCAATGGTTCGATGAATGGTTCTACTGTAAATCCAGGCCAACACTTAAAACGCGAGAAGCATCGACAAAGGATTGCTACACAAAGCGCGGGGTGCAAAGTAACCCCTTCATACTACGTACTGGATTTGAAGACGTTACATTTGCGTGTTGGTTGGTTCGTATCACCATACAGATCGGGTAGTCGTTGCAAAGGCACTTTTGAACGCTAGTAGGTCGAACCAACTGCAGATGTTACGTGGAATGGACTTCCAGGGCTATGCCTGCATGTGAAGCGGCGCTGTCAGGATCTGATTGGAAGTCTACTCATGTTTGTCCTACACGCGAATGTTACTGAGCAAATTACGCAATAGGCGATAATGCTACCCCACCAAACGAGACTGAGGGACTGTGAATTACGACCAGACCAAGCTTAACTTGCGCTTACTGCAGGTGCAGGGTCTTGATACGCCCACAGTTGGCACCCACTAGCTAAAATTATGCTCCAAAAGTCTGTAAACGCTGCCCCGCCAACAAGTAATCCACCACCATAAAAGTAAACTTATCTATTTTCTTTAAATGTCTATAACTTTAACAAAATATATCGCAAAAGCCTAGAATTTTATCCATTATATACACAAAGCACTAAAGAAACTATAAATTTAGCAAAATAGCAAAAGCTCTTATTATTTAAGCTATAAAGAGCAGGAGGTTATACCAAGATATCGCAGCCAAGGCTAAATATTTACCCGCTACAATCTTCAAGATCTTTTAATGCTAGAAAACTCACTAAACCTTAGATAAAAAAAGTTATCCTAGGTATCCTAGAAAACTCTTAGTTTAGTAAATTTAGTATATATTAATTTTATTAAAACGTAACTATAGGATTGTATATAAAAAGCTAATTAACTTTCTAGGTAGTAAAATCTTATAAATAACTTTACGCTAAGTTATTAAACTTTATTATGGTTGTAAATAAAGGGCTATATAGAGAATTCTACTATCTATAGAAACCGCTTATTAGTAGCTTTCTTAGTATTAAGCTTAGAAGGAAGATATTAAAGAATTACTAAAAGTATATTAGTTTAAAGTTTATATATAAATGCCCCTTAGGAAGAGATTACTAATCTAATAATACCCTTAGACGATTTTTAGTAATAAGTCTATAGTTTAATTATAACCTAATTATAAATAAGGCTAAGTCTTTTAGAAGCCTTATAAGAAGTTTATAAAGGAATTAGTTAATATTACAGTTTATAGAAAGTCTTAATTATCTATTATAGTTTAGGGAGTAATCTAAAGAGGCAGTAAATTTAATATTATTATTATAATCTGTAATTAAACTGTAAGAAAAAGAGGATATATATTATAAAGCTATTAGGAGGCATTATTAAAAGGTTTACTTTCTATTTAGACCAGGTTTTGCTATTTTTAATAAGATAATGCCTGTATTTATATATTAGAGTTAATAACTAATTAGCTACTAGAATACAGGATATCCTGGATTAACTAGCCTGCTTATAGTCTAGATCTTAACCTAATTAAGTATATTTAGAAGTAATTAAAGCTAAATATTTATAAGATATTCCCTTAAATAAAGCTCCTTAAAAATAATAAAGTTAATTAAGCAAATTAATTAAATATATTAAGTTAGTATAGGCAGCTATTATACCTAAGCAGATTAACAAGCTAATTAACTTACTCCCTTACTAACTTAATGCCTGCATTTAGGCAAAGGGTTAGTATATAAAATATTAAAGAGAAAATTCTAGTGATTAAAATAATATATATTATATTATTATTGGATTTAAATTGAAAATATTATGAATAAATGAAGTCATCGCGGTTGAATTAATTAAGTTGGTACAGGGTGGGGTGTTCATAGACTTTTAGAGCATAATTTTATCGATCACCGTCACGTCAGAATCTGCCTCCACACGACGACTTGCCCTTCTGGGAAGGACATATTACGAGAGTTGTTCTCTCTTGTCGCCTCAACAGTAGTCATTAGCTCCCGTAAGCCAACCGATCTTCCCCCCTCCCCCCTCTACTAGAATTCATACAGTGTCTGGTAGCTGGGAGTGGGGTAATTCAGAGTTGGCAGATTGGAGGGACCGGCCAGTCCGTGATTGACCAGTGGTGCACGTTCTCTTGAGCGAAGGATCCAAGCATAAATTGACCACCAGCGTTTACAGTCGCTGTATTTCTCTTGGTGGCATAAACAAAGCGGTCAAGAAACCGACAGAAACAAGTTCCAATTGGACAAGCACCTGCAATAATTCACAATGGCAACCAACGTACCCATCAAGTATGATATGTTGAGGTATGCACCGCGCCCACTGACGTACAAAATTCGCATTAACAAGCAATACAGACGGCTGCGAGTAGCTGACTACATCACTCTTTCCAATGGTAAGTAACTCAACGGCCTCTAACTAATGATCAAGAATAATGAAGCTAACCTAGCCTTTCTAACAATCCAGGCTTTTGCGGAGGTAGTAGATCATTCCTCATCGCCATACAGCCCTGGATAATTGACTTGTATGAATAGTTCTCGCTATTTTCTGTGCAATAAAGAAATCGCTGTTGTCGGCGCACTTGCTCATTTTTCTCGGCTATGAGTTTGATCGCTTCGATGGAATAGTCGCAAGGGCCAGGAATGAATGTTCCGAATTGGGCAAACAATTGGATAGCTTCTGTGATTTGGTGAGTCATCTTTTGTTTGCCCTGGCGAGGTCTATGATCCAGTGCTTAGTATTTGTGCTCAGGTCTCTTTTTGCGTGGCGCCGGCAGTCATGATTTATTCCGCTGGCTTCGATACCGCGGCCGATCAGGTAGCTTTGGCTCTTTTTGTATGTTCAGGCGTTACCCGCCTGGCAAGATTCAACATCGTCGCGCACTTGGTGCCCAAGAGCGATCGGGGCAAAGCGATGTACCATGAGGGCCTTGCTACCCCATATGCAGCTCTTCTCATTTCTACTTCAGTTGCTGCTGCGGAGTGGACAGGCTTTTTGGCAAACTTGGCTTCTGGCTCTCATTACCCAGTCATAATTTTTGTGCTGATTCTCAGTGCTGCTATGGTTAGCAAGCGGCTGCACTTATACATTGATGGAGCCTACAGCGTCCCGGCTGCGAGCATCCTGATTTTCGCAGGATGCTGGTCGCACTCACCAATTCCAATCTGGACTGTGCTATGGTGAGAGGTCACCTTGAATCATGATGCGATTCTAGTAACATGATTCGATGTCGGTAGAAGATCTGGAAAAAGGTGGCTGTGTGCAAGAAAAGAAGGACAGAAGATGTGATTCAGGGCAAATTGTATGCTGTGAATGCCAGGCAATGAGATTCGAGTGGGAAGCTGAATGAGCGGTCAAGACAAACAAACAGATAGACAGATGCTGACGATGTACAAGGCGTAAGCCTGGTTAGGATTGCTGACAGAGTAAGGTCGCTAATAGAAAATGGGTGACACCTTGTCGTGAAACATAAAACTCTTCAGTTCCACCAACAGTGCAGGCCCAACATATATTCTCTCCCGCTCTTTCGTTACCGCTTTTCATTCTCAAACCTTCGCCATCATGTCTCTTCGGCCCTACTTGGAAGCTGCCTACAGAGAAGTTCGTTTGTCTACAGACACCGCACTGGCTCCGTTGCAGAAGCTGGACTGCCACCTCAAAAAAGGTCAAGACAACTTGATCCTGGTCTACGGTGGCTCTTTCAATCCTCCGCACCGTGGACATCTGGACGTCCTGCTTTCAGCACTGCACCCTGTGGTCAACGCTGTGGCGGTGGTGGTCCTCCCCAGCGAAGATTTCCACCTACGACATAAACTGGCCAATAGCCACCCAGAGTTCTTCATGAGTCGCAAGACGAGAGCTGCACTCTGGGCAGAGATGCCCCAAGTGCCTAGAAGCAAAGTCTGGATATGGTCAGAGACATGGTACCCATTCTTCACCTTTATGGAATCGGCGCAGCGTCTTTGCGAAGCAGATGGTTACAATATTGCGTTTTCGCACCTCATCGGGCCGGATAACCTCAACCGAGCCGATCCACTCAACAATCTGCCCTATAGGCTGCCGCGGATACTTGTTACCAACAAGGCACGGCATGTCCCCTCTCAATTCTTGCCAAGCGGACAGCCGACGAAATGGAAAGGCTTTGGGGAATGGCTTGCGCAACGAATGACCGGCGATGACAATAGTAGGTAAACCGAGCAAACTTGCTCTCTTATGGCTCGAGCTTTCTGACACTTTCAGTAGGGGAGGAGGCTACTCTATGGACTTGTCGAGGTACTGACAGCCTCGGCCAGCGGACAATGGGTTACTACTTGGATTTCGCAAAGAGACCAACTGGGTCTGACATCAACTCAACAGCCATGAGGCGAGACCTCCTCGACAGACACTCATTGAACGAAGAGATACTGGGCCGACTCAGCACCGCTGACCTTCTCAGCATCCTGGAGCCGGTACTGCGTGGGGATTAGATTCATTGCTAGAACAACCTAAGCAACGATACTCATTATGTCAGATTGCTCCAATAGTACAATGTGTTTAGTCAAGAACTTTACATCCACGTAATACCTAAAAGCTTCTTTGTCGTAGATCGCGTAACCTAAGCTTAATTTGGTTACATCCACCTGCCACAAGGGGATGACACTGTAACTGGGGAAGAGGCTGGCAGATCCCGGATGATAGGCGTTGGTAAAGACACCGCTGTAGTCTTGAATCGATGATGACTTACCCAACAGGTGCCCTGCCAGCGTACGGCGCAACCTGCGAGACACATGGTGACTATTGGCTTACACCAAGAACTGTATGACAGGAAGCTTACTGGTTGGTGTACTGGCGGAAGGCGAGATGAAGTGTTTGTTTTGGGAGATTGGGATCCTTAGGTGTTCATGTTCTTGGCAGAGTTCAAGCGATCGATGGATGATGCCCCTGTACCGAGCAGTCAGATTAAGCAGTCAGTTACAGGTATATATTGACATGTCTCGATTTGATTCACGTTTCAATTTTACAATCAATATTAGCAAAAGCGTTATCAAACACTTCACATCCACCTTTTAACCAGAAAGCATGGCAGTATTGAGTGGTTACTTTAGACCCAAAGTGGCCTTCGTCACTGGTCAGTGATTATACGTTGCGAGTAGTTGTCTGGCTATCTAACATGTGAGACAGGAATTACCGGTCAAGACGGCTCATATCTTTCCGAACTGCTGCTGGAAAAGGGCTACCAAGTTCATGGTCTGGTACGATCAACTGCTTCCAGACGCGAAGCTCTGAGCAAGCCACTCCGGCCTGGCTTGACTATACACCTCGGCGATATGTCCGACTTGGGTCGTCTCGTCCACATCTTGGGCAGCATCAAGCCCGATGAGATCTACCATCTTGCAGCTCAGTCGCATGTGGCTGTCTCATTTGACACTCCACTACAGACTAGTGACACCAATGCTATGGGAACACTTCGTCTGCTTGAGGCCATGCGAATGCTAGGTTTGGACAAGTCGACAAAGTTTTACAATGTAATGTCATAGCCCTAAGTGCAATACCAAATGGCTAACATATCCGTGCAGGCTTGTTCATCTGAAGTGTTCGGGTCGGACATGCCCGCTCCACAAACAGAAGAGACCACGTTCCACCCAGTATCACCATATGCGGTGACAAAGTTGTTCCAATACTGGACTACTGTCAATTTTAGAGAGGCATACGGCTTCCATGCCTCAAATGGTATTCTCTTCAACCATGAATCACCAAGACGTGGTACCACTTTCGTCACCCGAAAGATCACTACTCAGGTAGCTTTAATTGCTTGCGGAAAGCTTGACTTCTTCTCGCTGGGCAATCTAGACGCTGTCAGAGATTGGGGCCATGCAAAGGATTACATGCAGGGCGTGTATTTGATGCTGCAACAGCCAGTTGGAGGCGATTACGTTCTTTCGAGTGGGAAATCCTACAGCGTTCGCGACTTTGTTGAGGCAGCTTTCAAGGTCATCGGAGTCAACATTGAGTGAGTTCCCCTTCACCGGGATACAGTCGCAGCCGCTGACATATCAACTAGATGGGCTGGAACTGGTGTAAACGAAGTCGGCATTGACTCGGCCAGCGGAACGGTTCGCGTTAAAGTGAACCCCGAATTTTACCGACCACTTGATAACCAGAACTTGCTTGGCTCAGCAGCCAAGGCGAAGAAAATCCTCGGATGGAACCCGACATACAGCTTCGAAGCATTAGTTGAAGAAATGGTACTTTGCGACGTTGACGCTGTCAACACAGGTCGTATCTTCTCCAACAGTTACTTGGACTGGGTAGTTGGCAAGGCGGAAAGCGGAATTGGGGTCGCGAGTCATAGTCCTGCCAAGTCTGTTGGTGAGTCTCACAGCGTTACTACGAACTCGGATGGGCCTGAGAAAATCAGCCTGGCGGACGTTGAGGGGCTGGATGCGGAGGTTACAACTCAGGTTTAGTCTAGCCATTTTGTTGATGCTTCTAAAGCAGTAGTCATTCATTCTAGATTTCTTTATCTGATATCGCCGTGAGATAGCTCAAACCAACACATATAACCATATTTCATTCCTTGGTAATTTATTGCTCATTTGTCCCATACCGTACCAAGTAACAGCAGAGGGAGATATATTGCTAAGCTAAACGCTTCAGTTAGCACTAACGTAGATCAGCCTGAAGGTACCACCACCCATACACCCAGTACGTGATGTTGGATTGACGTTCCCAAACTTCACTGTGCTCAAAAGACGTCAGAAACGGTGCAAGTTACCTTTATTGCCTTACTGACTGTGTCCTTAGCCTCGGTACTGGTTACTTTTGATTGGCTACGCCTAATAATTCTGTTTTCTCCCGGTGGTGACACAAACGTGCCATGTTATCTTTTGCAGAATTTCTGATCAGTCTCGATTGTACAAACAAGCTGACGTTTGAGTCGCGCAGCACTCCATATGGGGAAGATACTGTTTGTCTGATCATCCATGAAAATGAGGTGATGTGGGGGTTTGAGACACCCCAGTCAGTCACCTCCAATACCGTGACTCAGGACAGGGCTTTGAATTTCGTAATCAGTCATATTCTGCTTCAAAAGTTGTTGGTTGTTAAATGAGGAGTAATATTCGCTTAACCAATGCATTTCACCGCCATTCTAATCTGACTACCAGTGCCAATCATGGTAAACAAGGCAGCCCTTCTTACGGCAAGTGTTACAGAAACCTTTAAGCACTTTATTACGAGAGAGATTTGACAAATCTCTTACGACCGCGCTGGGATCAACAAACACATGATGTCTAATGCAACCACGTTTACCATGCAAATGTCACAAGGTAGATTTCACTTAAGGATGAAACGATGTACAGCAATACATGGCAATAGACAAAATAGCACTATTCCACAACCCTCCCCCCACTGCCAATTCCCTTTCGTAGCCAAAGAATTCAGTACCTGCGGCCAATATGGGAAGCCAGTTGACACCTGAGATGGATGAATCCTTTTTCTCCGAGACCTTTTCGGTCAAGGCTCTCGGTAGTGACCGTAAGCTACCCTTCGAAATACTGCCAGTCATGAGTATAGTACACTGACATGTTACCTTTCCTCTTTTCCAGGTGCCTTAAGAGCCGAATGCCGTTGGAGATTCTCACCCCCTCTCTCCCCCAAGAAAGTAGACGGAAATGCTCCTCCGCACTACAAATCTATTGACCTCGTCTTGAATCTCACCTCCCCGGAAAGGGCCGAGACGAATGGTCGCACGAGTAAAGGAGCGGAGGTTCCCGCTGACTGTACTGAAACTCCATTGGGAACCATAATCAACAAATTTCTAACATCAGAGGCGCCTTCCTCCGACGTTAGTAGACCGGGCCACGCTACCGAGGCTCTGATCAAGGTCTTGATGGTTCCACATGATGGGTATCTCTGTCGACGGGATATTCTGCAGTTGAGAATGGTCCATTCAGACTGGATCGAATCTGTCGTTCCCTTCAGAGTAGGGGAGAAGCCTTACTACGCACCACTGCAAACTGAAACCAATCTGCTTTCTCTTTTACCGGCCTCGCCTGGAGCCTTGATCTGCAAACGCTCCGTCCAATCGGCTCATGGCCTCGAGGCACTTCAGCTTGCCGATCGGGAAGTGAAAGAGAGGCTTTCTTTTGACTGGATACTCCCAGAAAAGCCTCCAGCATTGACCGTGGCAGTGGTTGGCGGTCGCCCTCTGTTCGATAGCACAACAGGGGGTTATGGTTCAGAAGGTCCCTTCGACGCGGCTAGAGCGCTGGGAATAGCCGTCATCGTCCTTGATCGGCCCGGCCATTTCATGGAGGGCCCAAAATACAGTCGTCTGCGAGACGACTTTGTTGCTGTCGATATGACCATTGACGACAGTCTACCTCAAAGGCTCGCCACAGCTGTCAAGGGCCGCAAAATAGATGGCATCATCACTTTTTCAGATGAGTATGTCATTGCAACCGCAAAGGCCGCCGAAATGTTGAGTCTTGAAACTGAGCCCGTCGAGTCAATAATCACTGCTCACTACAAGGACGCGACCCGCAAAGTTCTTAGTACTCTCAATATGCAGTCTTTTCGGTTAGAGAGTGCCACAGACTTGGATAATGAAGAGATTTCTAAGACATTGGAAGCCTTGACGTACCCTCTGGTGGTAAAGCCATGTCGTGGTGCCGCCTCTCGGGGTGTGAAAAGGGTTCAGAATCACGACAGACTCCGGGAAGCCATCAACCAGCTCGAAAGGGATGGTCTCACAAAATATGGGATCCTTCTCGAAACTTACATAAGCGGGCCAGAGATTGATGCCAACATTGCTCTGTGGGATGGTGAGCTTATGTTTGCAGAGATCACCGATGACTTCCCCTGCGCAGCTGATGCCAGCGGCGCCACTATTACCGACAGTTTTGGTGAGACTGTCATGGTGTCACCAACGCTATTGTCTCAGAAGGAGCAGCAGCTGATCAAGTCATCTCTACACCAAACACTGCTCAAACTCGGTTTCCGGAATGGGGTCTTCCATGTTGAAGCTAGAGTCCAGAATTCAAGCATGCGATACCAGGAAATCGACGGTATTGTTGATTTAGCTGATACAGACAACACGTCGCCAAGCGAACCTGAGGTGTATCTCATCGAGGTCAATGCACGCCCTCCTGGCTTAGACTGTGCATTCTCGACCCTTCACGCTTACGGGGTAGATCTTTGCGCGCTACAGCTGCTGCAATGCCTACGGGATGGCGATCGATACAAATCGATGTGTAAGCCTTTTTTATCTGAGACACAGTACTGGAGCGCGAACTGCCTGATCCCAATTCACCGCGATAACGTACTAGTACCAGAAGGGTTCTGTGACAAAGTCTTAGAGAGATTGCCAGACGTTGCTCCATCAGTCTATAGGTCAGAGCTGTTTAGGCAGCCTGGCACTCTTGTATCGCCACCCTTAGGCATCGAGTTTCTGGCTTATTTCTTGGTGCAGTCTAGGACTGATCGACGAAAGGTGCTGCAGACCTATCATCGTCTCATCCAAACTTGTAGAGATGTTTTAGATGAGGCGTGAGAACATTATTTAGATATAGCCATCAAGTCAGCATTCGAATTTAACCTCACTGTCTCACCTTCTTATTCACCTGTAGCACTTGGTGAAAGAGAGTCATCTGCATGCCCTCACCCAGCTAAGCATGACTCAATGTCTGACCATGCCAGCAGGGTTTGAAACATAATTTGACGTATCAATCAACCAGTCGACCATGACGCCATAACCAGCGCGTAGGCTCGGTAATTGCCTCACCGGAACAAATATGTTGTTAAGGTTAGGCTGCTCGGAACTTTTGTGCTGACAGTTCTTCCACCCCGGGCCGGGCCGCATGATCCTTCGACTATTTGATCAAGTACCGTGAGGTAATATAGGGCATCAGTCTGTAGATCACGCGAAATTCAAGCTTATGGTGGCCTTGATGCACCGGAATACACACCCGGCATACTTCACCTATGTGGCAGCCTAATATACCTTGCTCCCCGCAATTATCAGCCATGTTTCGCAAGCTATGTAACATAACAAAGGACATAACCAGCCAGTTGGATTGAGGTATGACCGATTGTTATGAAATCGACTCTGAGCCAATCCATCCTGCGTATGGCGTATGCAGCGTGCTTTGGGGGCCAAACAAGAGTACCCTGAAAACCCCGCCCAAACTCCAAGCAGGGAGCATTTTTGGTCTATCAGAGTTGCCCTTTTGGTGGAGAATCAGTAGGTTGGCAGGTGAATTGGGCTGGAACTTTTGAGGGTGCCCGTAAGCTGCAGCAAAACGCCTTCAAGGTTGTATATGGTTCATTTAAGCAGGGAAATGATGCTCACGTGCCCTGTTTCCGTTTTAGAATGCACAAATGTGCTCAAAAGCCAACAATATTGAAAGGTCTTTTGTCTTCCAGTTACAATTGACTAAATAGCTTGTGAAATTCTGGTGTACTATGTCGGTTGCATCTCGATCAGGAACAGCCATGAATATTGTGTTCACTAGTAATCATGAATCTCTCGGCGCTAATGCCAACGCTAGCGATCTGGAATATCAAGAGGTCACAGACCTAAGGGCCAAGAAACGCCTGCAGAATAGGGTTGCCCAGCGAAGTTATCGTAAGGCCGACCCCGCCATCACAGGCTTGGCTTACAATGCTTACTAACGGGCTGAAACCTAGGACGTCGTGTCAAGTCCCGCATTGCTGACCTGCAAAAGAAGGTGGCTCAGTATGAAGATGCAAATTCATCGAAAGAAGGTCCAGAGACTGGGGAGCAACCTCGTCTTCATGAAAATTCTGTGCATCAACGGATATCATATACATCACCCGAAACAATCAACCCAGGACCGACTCAGGGCTTGCGTGAAGTTATTGGCTCGCAGTCAAGCCGTGAAATGAGCCAAGAGAATTCCACTCACAAAAGTTCGAATTATACTCTCTCCCCAGCAACTTCTCGCGCACTTGGTAATGAAATCTCAGGCCCTACCGCGACCAAAGCAGTAACGTCTTATCAACAAGTTGGACCAGGCCGCCAGCCGCAGCAAAGTCGCCGTTCAGGCTTCATAGCCGAACCTGATGAAGCCAATGGCAACGTCCATCAACCGCATTTTGACGATACTACTATGGGCCAGAACAACGGCTCAGCCATATTGCATGCCTTCCCCGCATCGACCTTTGATGCGGCTGCATCTAATCCCCCATTTGTCACTGATGCCTTTGAGGGAGAATTAGATCTTGGATGGATGATAGCAAACACAGCGTTGGAGGGACAAAAGTCATGCTCCTACGATAAATCACCACACCAAAACCCAAGACCCTCATCAACTAGCTCCAATTCACTAAAAGTCCAATCATCTACCGCAGGACAACAAAGCTACGCCTCATCTTCAAGATCACCAGCAACCGTGCCCAGAGAATCACTGAACGCAAGATTCCAGAACATCATGGAATGCGTCGGCGCAATGGGTTTCGAAAGCTTTGACGATCTAGTCACTTCATACTATGTCGACGAGTTTGAAGAAGCGTCCAAGCTCTCCCATGAACAGCGATTCAGCAGGATCAGAAGGCTTCCTGGCGTTTTTGCGGAGATCCTCGAAGGTGCGAGAAAATGGGAGCCTTCAGAGCGCCGTGGCCTTGGTGAAGAGGTTCTCAAGGAGACTGAAGCGGTTCTCATGCTTGAAAACAGCGACGCTTGGCAATCATTACAGTCAATCACTGATGCAGCCATGGCCAAGGACAATATCTCCACGGAGCAGGTATATCAGAACCTCAGTACAGTCCTACCCATGGAGGTAACTACATATGCACCAACGCATGATTCCCTTACGATATAGATACTAACATTCAGTTAGATGCCTAATCTTTGGACCTTATTAATGGCCCTAGTAGCATCCGACTGTCCGGCTTGGCAGCGCGATTGTTCTGGCACAGCTCTGGCAATTACTTCACTATTGCATTTCACAGGTCGGATACCAAAAGCTAAAATACTAGAACTGATAGGTCTTTGTATTTCATAAATCTAGAGAACATTACAGGAGTGGTATCTTGGTGTCTAGTCGAGAATAAAATTAACCAATGAATCCAAGGCGACTTGCTGCTCGACATTGCCTGTATTTCTCTCCCTTGCACTCTGGTAATCCTCCTCGGATAATTTCGATTTTGCGAACTCCAATATTTGGCCCAATGCTTCAGCGTCGAATTCAGGGTGCGCTTGCAGCGACCAAAGACGTTTGGGAAGAAAGAGACCTTGTATGTGAGTATGATCCGTCGAGCCGAGATTCTGGAGCTGTCCTAGGTCTTGATCTTTGACCTGAAACTGGTGACCCTCGTTTAAACACTATGTTGCCGTAAGTCCTTGCATTTGAAAAAGGCCATTCCAAATTTGAACATACAACAGAGTCTTGTTTAAACAGTCTTTTCCCTGCATCTGATAACTGGATAGTTGTCGCAGAGAACTCGTATCCCAAGTCATTGCATTCAACGGATAGTCCGTAGGCCATAGCTAAGATCTGGTGGCCGAAGCAAAATCCTACAAATTTTTGGGTAGATGTTGTTTCGACTTCTTTCTTGACATACTCCCGAAGCTTCAACAGCCAGGGTTCCTCGCCTTCTGGGTTTGCGGCTGAATCCAAATTCGTCAGTTTATCCTTCAACAACTTTGATGTATCGGCCATGACTCACGTGCACCAGTAATTATAAGCACATCGTAATCGCCTGGTTCCGGATAGTCCATGGCGTTCTTCACATCCCAGACACGTATTTGTGCGCGTTCCTGCAAACGATCGTTTGACCTGAGCCATTTCGAAACAAGAGGGCCATAACCTCCCCACTTTGATCTGTCCGGATCAATATGATTGTCGCACTCCAAGACACTAATCACCACAGATTTATCCATTGTAAGCGATCAACAAATCTTGCTGCGTACTGCTTGGTTTAAAGATTAAGACACGGACAGACTTTTGTCTCTTTGCTTGCAACGGACCTATTAGGTTATATAACTAGGCTCTAGTAATGACGTCTTTAGGAATGGTGGAAAAAGCCACTATTCTCAAGCTAGTAGTACTTCCTAGTCGTCATATGTCTAAGGGAAGCTAGGGAAGCTCCATAAGAGTCATGATAAGCGTCATGATACTGCGATCTACGATCCACTCAGATCCTGGATTTTTGGTTCACGCTTTACCTAATTTGTGGTCTATGACAGCTTCTACTGGAGGAAAGTCTCAGGACAGGGAGCTTATTCTCCGACATAGCCTAATTCCCTCGTTGTCAGGCATGTCTAGCTCTGCTTTTTAACTGCCTGGCTATCACTGATGCCAGTAATTCCATGGCTGAACACCAAAAAGTGCAGTCTCACCAAAGTCAAGAAGACATAAGATCCACCACAACCCCAATCATCTGAAGTCCAGCTTCCTCCAAGTCTCCCTTGGCGGGCCATGGCAAAACCCACCCCGCTAATGCCCGCGAGGTCAGACAGTAGTAGCGAAAATTGCAAGATCCCCCACACTGCGATATCTTGAGAATAGCGGGGAATAGTAGCGGAGAGAAAAGCAACAGCCAATGCAAGGCCGCCGCTTTGATGGAAGAGAAAGACTTGATCCGGGTCGTATCTTGAGTTGGGTGCCATTGAGGTGACTGCGCCAATTGGATCAATGAAGTTCAGATATGCTCCCCCAAGAGCAATGATAGGGTCGATCCATTTAAAGAAGAAAGCGTAGAATTTGAAGGTTGTACTGTCGGTAGTTGACATATTGCTTGTCGGAATTTGGGGAGTTGTGCAATTGGTGTTCAGTAAGAGGACTTTTGAGTCTATAGATGAAGTGTTTAATTGAGTACTTGTCTTGTTACGGTTTCGGGACGCTTGAGTAGCCTATATATAATAAAACTCGTTTAATCTCTTAGGTTGTAAGCTTCAGAAAAGCAGTAAATAGTCCGTCGGGTCAATTATGGTGGTTTGGACATTCGGTAATTTTTAAAAGTCTGTCATCCGTCAGATTTTGGTGAAACACCGTGAAGGATTTAGGCAGCTAGGCGCTAGGGCAGTGGCTGCACCTAGCTGTGACTAGCATCGTGGAGCCTGTATAATCATGCTTATGCCGTGGGACGAGGGTGCTATAATAGTATTATGAAACGACAGTGATATAAACTAGTCTAAGATGCCGAGATACTGTTGGTCTGGGCCACGGAAAGCTTGCCTCTGCCGAATTCGAACTTATGATCTTCCTCCTTTGGCTCTGACTTGATCTTTTGCCCAAGCCTTCGCTCATTGAATACATTCTCAACATGGTCCTTCATATCATACCTTCCGAGAGTCAGTAAAAGGATTACACTTCCGGTATCTAACACAACTCACAGGTTCATCTCATCGATTGTCAGTTTACCATCTTCAGTTGCAACATTGTACACCTTAGTGTTCGTGTTGCTAGAAAAGCCTGTCCGCAATAGTCAGTATTCAAGCCCAAAGATACTGGCTTCAGATGTCTTACCAATTCGCTCGTTGATGTTCTCTCGGGCTCTTGCTGATGCAGCCTGAACCTTGGTAGCCCTTGGCTTACGAACTTCCTCAAATACTTTAAGAGACTCGCGAATATCGCCATTAAAGTGCTTCTTGCTGAAAACAAGACCAATTGCGGCAGCATCTTCAATGGCCTGGCAAGCACCCTGACTTTGATCAGGCATCATCTTGTATCTCTGTCAGTGCATGATACGTAGAGAAAGAACATCATTACTTACCGGATGAGCAGCGTCCCCCATAATGCAGGCAACCCCCTCGGTCCAGTGATCGTACGGCTCATGGAGCCACAGTCTCCAGGGGCGTATCTCGTACCCAATCTCGAGGTGCTTGAAGACCGCCCGGTCCAAATCAGGGTATGGGTCAAGAAGCTCGTCTAGGGTGGCCTCTTGATCCCATGTCTGTGCCTTGAGGTCACCAGCTTCACGTGGGAAGAAGCAATAGTAAGACAGGAGCTTGCCCCCGTTGCAAGGAGATAGAACAATCTTGAAATGGGTGTTGTAACCTCCCCAATACTCCAGCGCGCTGTTCTGGGAGTAGTCAACCAGGCCGAGCTCCACAGCCTTTGCAGTGTCAACATTGGTGTGTAGACAAGTGCAAGTAGCCGGTTTGCGATCGGGCTTGATGCCGAAAACACTTCGAAGGGTGGATCCAATGCCGTCGGCCCCGATGACTACATCGTGCTTTGCCTTCTTGCCATTTGCAAAGGTAACTTCTCCACTCTCCACATCTACATCAGTAGCCTAGAGTAAGAGACGACGATTAGTGATACTTCTGTGATATCTGAGAATACTAACTCACCTGGTGGTTCACAATGAGTTGAGCAGGGGGGCCCTCGCCTTCACCAAGGGCACTGTCCATCAACATGCGATGCATATACTGGCGATGAAACATGTAATAAATCTGGATACTGTTATCAGCGTTTCTATTTCGGATCCAGGCTCAAATTTGGGGTTTAATTTACATATCCCCATCGTTCTTTATAATCCTTAAGATCATAGACGCTTATGGGCTCACCAGTCTTCCAGTCACGACTGATTAGTTTTCTGAGAGTTACTGGATCGCCAATTTCAATATTGACTTTCCATTCCTCCAGCCAGCGAGTCCCATTAGCAGCACATGAAATGGAAGCTCCAACCTCACCGGCAAAGTCAGCGCGCTCGTAAATGGTAACCTTGTGGCCTTGGCGACGAAGAGAGGTGGCAACGGCTTGACCTCCGATGCCCCCGCCAATGACAGCCACGTCAAGTGCACGCCACCCGCTTTGAGTCGACATTGCTTTTTTTTGGTGTGTTTGGTGGTTCAAGACTGAGATGTAGGCAGTTCAACGGTGGGACGAGACGAAGATACAGATGACCTGGTCTCTCTGCAGTTTCTACAAGAAGATAATTTGTCTATTCATGCCATTGAAGCTTCAAATAACTCTGATGGGCTGTGGCTTTCGACTACTGACACGTAGTATGCTCCCGATTATGCCCCGATTGCTGACCAAGAGCAATGAATCTCCATCATATCGGCGTCTTTCCGGTCAAAGCCGTTCACAAATACTCTTAATGTAGGTGGTCGGAGCCTTAAGGAAACCCTCACGCAGCACCTTATCTAGTATCACCTATATGATAAGCAGCAACCATCGGCCGTGCGCATTGAATAAACCCTGGGTAACTTCCCGATCACTCCCCGGCGGAATCTAAACACTCTCATGATACCCTTTGTAGTCATGTGGCCTCTTTTGCATCCTAAATAGGTGTCGTTTCCCGCCACCAGTGTCCTCGAAAGCCGCCGAGGTACAAAGGTCGTCTGGCGTCACACTACAGTCGTACTGGTAGACCAGCTCCTGAATACAACCATCGGAGATCATTACCTTTGATAGTGTCAATCTGTGCCTGAGATAGGAAACATGATATCTAAATCCTCCGTCACTTCCTCCGTGGTACGGAACGTTCCTTGCGATGAGCCCCACCTTTCCGCTCCCGTTCCGATAAAAGGGCCAGTCCTATTATGTCTTAGCTCTCCAAGATCCAGTGAACTGAGAGTCTGAGACAGAATACGGGGCGGCCCATCAGACGATTGCTATCACTGTAGGGTAACGTCACCATTTTGTTGCCTCGATTTGTCACAGAGCTGGGAGAGCTGCAGCTGGAATGGCAAAGGGGCGGCGGTCCAGGAGAGTCCTCTTCTCGTCAATTTACGTTTTTGCTTTTACTCAAGTACCGTTTCGATCGCTTATAACTATTCGTGGAGGAGAAAAGATGAGGCACAGGAAACGTTGGGAGACCTAAATCATGGCCGCAAACTCAAACAACGCAAACTTTAACCGATAACAAAAAACACCCAGAAGGCAAATTTGACTAGAGAGCGAAAATATACAGTCTTCCTTTCAGATTACCAAGCCAATCGAGTCCTCCAATCAATCACTTCTCATGCATTCCCTCCACGACATTGGCCGCTACAACTGGCATCTTGAACTTCTTTCTACCGACAAAGGCAAAATGGACGGCTCCAAGTATAATCCAGCCAGACATAACAGCCACTGAGTAGTTCATATTCTCAGGTGTTACAGGCAAAGAACCCGGGAACAGACTGAAGATAATAGAAACCACCATCCAAATGATGGCAGCCAGGGGGCTTGTGGCGGCTCGCGTACGACACCCGTGAAGCTAAAGCTGTTGTTGTCCAGTGACATTCGAATCAAGCTTCACTGATCTCGCGTGGGGAGGGAGTGCGACCGAATTCACTCAATCATGTAGCGTACACCATGGACGGGACCATCCCGCATTTTTGCCTTAACCTTAGGACCTAGCCTAGGGGAGGAAAGAATACTCGGAACCTTGATCCTGAAGGACAAAAAGATTTGGGGAACTTAGGGAACTTAGGATAATTTTAGGGTAATTTTACTAACTTGAGGATATCTTTTGCTGAGTTCATCCTTGATATCCTATCTCTAGGTCTGAGTTTTCTTGCCCCCCGAGGCTAGCTAACGGAGTCTACTGTGGTAAGCAGAATCTTTAGTGCGCAATCTGCTCCTGTTCGGCCCCGTAGACATCAGGCTCGGCTAAGCAGCGCTTCACGGGCGGAGATTTCATAGGCGAAATACGAAGGACTTGTTGTACTGTCTCATTCCAGTCTAGCAGTTAACTACAATTTGCTCTCTGGTAGAAGGCGTCTGCTTGGTAGATCGTCATTTGGCCCAGGGACTAGATGATCCAGGTCTCTTGTGTTCACATAACCAGGGTGAGCGTCCCGCATCAAATCCGTCATTCCACAGAGCCTCATGGCAGTCTCTATCTCGTCCTTGATAACTGCAACACGAATGAGCCTTGTTAGTCACATGTGTCAGGGGAAGGGGGACAAACTGTTAATTGCATGCTCAACTCCTTCTTGGCCGTAGCCGAGAGAATACAAAAGTGGGCGACCAAAGCCGACTGCTGAAGCGCCAAGACATATAGCTTTGACGACGTCGGATCCTCGTCTAAATCCTCCATCAATGAGGACTTTCATACCTTTGAACACTTCTGGGCAGATCCTGTTCACTTCCAAAAGCGTTAGAATAGCAGGGGCTGCACCATCAGCCGCTCGTCCGCCATGATTACTGATGACGATGCCGTCGCAGCCTGCAGCCAGCGCCATGTTTGCATCAGATGCTCGTTGTATACCTTTGACGACGATTGGTATGTCTCCAAGAATGCTACGTAGCCACTTGATGTCGTCCCAACAAACATTCGGGTCAATAAAAGACGAAGCAAGTCGCGCAAACCCCGCCCCTTTCTTGTCTCTCGTCTGTCCAGGCCCCTGACTTGACGAGGCTCGCTCATCCTCTTCCCGCTTCGATATCACTGGAACATCCACAGTCACAAAGAGAGCCTTGATCTTGCCGGTAGCTATAGCGTCCCGAATGGCGGCCTCAGACTTTGATCGGTCTTTGTTGACGTACAGCTGGAAGAAAGCGTGCTTCTCCGTAGCTTCCAAGATCTCGAGATGAGGATATGACGATGGGGTGGCAAAGCATTGGACTATGCCTGTTTTTTCTGCTGCCCGCGCCAGTGTGATCTCGCCTTCAGCGCCTCCGAGCTTCGACCCTCCTGTGGGCGAGATGTAGATGGGGAATGAGAGGTCACATCCGAATAATCGCTGACGAGTATTTATCTGCCCAACTTTTCTCAATATCTCCGGTCGGAGCCAGATTCTATTGAGAAATGTATTATTTGCATCGCGTGTGATGTTGTCATTGGAGCCAGTGTGAATGACTGCCCAAGGCTTGGTAGGGAGGAACCTTTCCGCTACTCGCTCGAAGTCGTCAAGGTTGATGATTTCACTTAGATCTGGCTTGGACTTGGGTTCGGATACAATATCAACAGTAGCGTCAACATTGGAGTTTGAATGCTTCTCCTGGTCTTTCCATGCCTCATCGATTGTCGCCGTGTCCAACACGCCTACGTGGCAGGTTGTGGGTAAAGATTTCTTGATTAAGGACGGGGAATGTATCTCGTTGTACGACGTGGAGGCATCTCGGCCGGCGTGTTGATAGATGACTGTTGAGTCCAGAAAGTTAGCGATTCCATGGTTGCTATTTGCTGTGACAGAGGTTGCGGTAGTAGGCTTACTCTCTTCCCCACCAGGATGTTCAGGTGCAAACTTGGTCATGTCGTATACCTCTCCATTGACAACGATCCATATATCCTCTTGTACCCCATGTTGGCGTATTTCTGCCACGCCCACTTTATTAGCCATAATAATTGTGTTGGATCAAGATTTCTATAGCTTGGCGGATCAGTGTCTTGGATAGGGCCTTTGGTCTTCCTAATTGCTGGTCGCATGGGGGGACTAAGGGTCGGTGTGCGAAACCACGAGATATGGCTTATACGTAATAGGGATCAGTTCATTGGCTCACCCAGGCTGTGTTCAGCCATTCCAGGTGAGAGACTATCTTCAGGTTCCGCCCTTACACAGTGCACTCCCGTCCCGGGGGCGGCCATCACAATCCGTAGTGCAGTGCTGAACAACTGTTGCAATACTTAGCTTACCCATGTTCAAGTCGGTTCACTTGCCCTTTGCAATTTTCCTCCAATACAGAATTCATTGATGAACACCGGCGGAATTGATCCTTGTGGTGCAGAGAGACTTGCCTTAGGAATGTTCCGCCGGCTTCTAACCGGTCATGGAAAACCCCAACGTAGCTTCCGAAGTGGAATATTCTGTAGCGGATGAAGGGGATGAGACGATGCGGGGTTTGCGATTAACGGTCCACGGAGCAACACCTGAAGAAGTGGCCGAGACAGTTCAATACAAATGTTGCTGTCGCTGACTCTAATGTCGAGTATCCCTCTACAGCATCATAGTCCCTACTCCAGTCATAATTCATCCAATCCTATCATCACATAAATCAAGCATCATGTCAGACGATCGCTACTATACGACTACACCCAAGTACTCTAAAAAGGTCCTGGTTCAAGGGGACCCAGATTACGAGAAATGCCGACGGATGAATCCCACTGCCCACAAGATTGAGCGCTTTCCTGCTGAGATTCACATTCCCGAGACACCTGCTGAAGTGGCCAAGGCTCTTGCACGCGCAACTGAGCTTGGTGTACCTATTGGCGTTCGATCTTCGGGTCACATCTTCCATTTCCCTGCCCTTTGGCACGGTGGTATCCTCATCGATGCAGTCAACCTGAACCGCCGAATCGACTATGACCCAGTCACCAAGGAGATCTGCTTTGGCCCCTCTTCACGTGTCGAGGAACTGGCTGCCAAGCTAAAGGAAGTCAACCGCTTCTTTCCCCATGGCCATGCCCCCACTGTTGGATCAGCAGGCTTCATGCTAGCTGGTGGCCAAGGCTGGTTTGTTCGAGGCTGGGGCGCGACGAACCAAACATGGATCACCAAGATCGAAATGGTTGTTCCTGATGGTCGCACCCTCATCGCTAGCCGTACCGAGAACCAGGACCTCTTCTGGGCAGCTCGTGGTAGTGGTATGGGCTTCTTCGCTGTAGTCACACGCTTCTGGGGCCGCACAATTGAGAGATCTACCATGTGGGAGAAAACTCTCAAGTTTGTCATCAATGATGACAACTACATGACTCTGATGAGTTGGGCTATCGAGCGTGGCCGAGATACTCCCAAGTATGGCACTGATCTGAACCTTACCATCGACTACCGTGAGAAGTATGATCCGGCCTACACTACAGACGACGTTCCTCCCAACGCAACGCTTGTTCTCACTCTGAACAATCTTTGCTATACTGATACGCAAAGAGAAGCTCGCACTCTTCTCAGCGCATACGACAGGATCACGCCTAAGGTTGCTAACTTTCTCATCGAGTCGAAGCCTATACAGGTTCGAACATTCGAGGAGGTGTTTGCCCGCAAGCGTACTTTCCTAGGTAACGCTGGTCAAGAGCGGTGGTCTATCAACAGCATCATGAATGACCCAGACGTCCCCCTCGCCCGAGTAAGTCTGTTTCCAGAAGCAAACGTGGCACATGACACTAACCATTCTTGTCCAACTGCAGCTCCTTGAAGGCATCCGACCTGCCATGCTAAAGCTGCCGACCCGCGTCTCTTCTGTCTTCATTTGCCACTGCGACATAAAGCCGGATGAGGATGACGCCTGCTTGAGTCTGCCTCAAGATCTGTACATCTCAACACTCACGGGCTGGACCGATCCCAAGCTCGAGCCTGCCATCATGCAACCCATGCGTGACTATTACAGACAGGCGTTCCCTGTTGCTGTGGGCCAGTACATCACCGACATCGATGTCAACTGTGAAGATGCCAATGTGAGTAGTGCCAATCCCGCCGCGACCGAATTATTTACTGACGTCTTGTTCTCTTCCTATAGTCCAAGGTCATGAGTGATACTGCCTTGGCCAAATTCCTTCGTATTCGTGAGAAATATGACCCCAAGGAGCTGTTCCCTACCTATAAGGCCTTTGTCAAGACGTCAGAGAAGATTAACAAGCTACAAAACAAGTCAAGACTGTAGAGTGTAGACTATAGGAAGGTGATTTAGTATAGCATATTGCAATAAAGTTGTGATTTTCCTAAGTTTCTGCACATTCCAGAATATGGAACTACTTGTCTGCGTATTTTGAATGTCATTGCGAGTATCCAGGCGCAGCAGTGCGGCATCGTTCTATGTGAACAAGCAAGAATTCATCCATTCTCCTATCGTACGTGCCACATATATACAGGCACCGTGTCATGCACCACTTCTGTACTGCGAGCCTCCATTGGCCATTACGCTTCACTCTTAGCGAGCTACGAATGTGCTGATGAGGTCTCTAATTCGCAGCGATCCAGACTTTGTGATGGTTTGACACTGAACTTGCAAGTTTCTCATCATCTCGCCACATAAGCTAGCATCTTGTGGTGGCAACAAGCATTGATACATCTGGATACTTCCAAGATAGTTACACCACAAATAACCACTCTACCGATGCTCAACCTAGACCCTAATTTCATGACTGCACGGTGAAGCCCATATCCTTCCATCCTGCCCGAACCTTGTTCTTTACATCCTCCGGATATGACTTATTGAAGCTGCACTCCCTAAAGTCTCTCTTTCCCTGATACTCAATTGGCATCAAACAGTCTGAAATAACCTTACCACCCTGAGTTGGATTACCGTGTGGCCCGTGAGACATGTACGGCGTAATTGGATGGCCTCTAACCTCCTCGAACAAAGTCTCGTCCTTGCCAGGGCGACATCGAGTGACTATAGCCCACATGACATCATTCCAGTCAAAAACATCAACATCATCGCCAACCAAGATGATACGGTTGACAAGCATACAGCTCTTGTCCTTGAATGCAAGATCACCTATCCTCTTACATAGCTCGGCCGGACTGGTTTTCATATCCCCTAGTTTCTCTATGTCAACTTGAAGCGCACACCAAGTGGCGTATGTCTCGAGGGGACAATTGGCCTCCTTGATGGGAAGTCCTTTGCGCTGCAGCAGCTCGAGGAGTTCGGCAGATGCAAGTGCAGCTGTTGTGTGCTGTAGAATGTCTCCGGTTAGTATAGTCATATACAACGAGGCTGGAGGGCAGGATCTCACCGATTCGTCTGTGATACGACCCGGGACCGACACAGGCATGATAGCGTCGTTGCGATATGTGATGGCGTCAACAGTAAACAGGGGCTGCATGCGTCGATCTCCCTCGAAGATCACACCCATATAATCCTCAAAGGGACCTTCATACGCCTTGTCAGTCAGTGAAAACGTGCCCTCGAAGACAATCTCCGAGTTGGCAGGGACAAAGAGATCATTAAGATCGCATTTGACAAGATCAAGTGGCTTGCCCACTAATGCGCCAACATATTCAGCTTCAGAAACGCCTTCTGGAACTGGCATGGCAGCTGCCAATGATGCGGCCGGGGGAACCCCAAAGGCCAAGGCCCAGGGAACTTCCTTTTTGCCCGCTTCCAACCAGGCATCACGGATCATAGAATTGTGCTGGCCGCCCCCGACAAGACAGACTATGCGATTCTTGTCATAGACCATTCCACGGAAGATTGACCAGTTCGTCCAACTTCCATCGGGCATTTGGAGGACATGCACACCGTACGTTTGGATGTACTTGCCCCCATCACCAGTGTGAAGATAAGGCACCGGAAGAGTGGTAAGATCAATCTTGTCTCCCATAATCTTGTTGTCCTTGCATGGACCCGATGGGAGCACATTGGGAGACAGAACCTTGGCCCTCTTACCTGATTGCCATCTGTGGCATATCTGCTTCCAACTGGCAGTAGGCTCCAATCCAAGACTCCTCGCTATTCGGCCGTATCTATCCTTGTCGTTCGGTCGAAGACTGGCTGCGTTGCCCGCGACGCGCCACAGACCGTCACGCGCACCCTTGATGTTGTTGAAGAGAGGTGCTTTGTCGTTGACTTCGCTGACACGTCGGATAATTGCACCGAGTTCCAAATGAGGGTCGACTTCAGTGTTGATTTCGACTAAGTCGTTGTCGTGGCGTAGCATGTCTAGAAACTTGCGGTAGTCGAGTTGCGCCTCTTGGGGGTCTGGCCCCTGGGAGGTGCTGTATCTTTTGCGGTATGGCATAGCGTCGGAGATGCGTCCTCGGTCCATTAGGGTGCTGGTCAGGCCTCTTGGGGATAGCAGACGCAGCTTACTCGGTGCTTGTAGCATTGCGCTCAGATGGAAAGTTTTATGTTGGTATATTCAATTGCTTAGAAGCATCCAGTTCCTTCCATTGGCAACATTATCATCCATTTGAAGAACATTGCCGTCACTTCCAGTACTAGCCGTAAGTCGTCCAGTTACAGCGGATATTTTCAGGTCTCGCACTGAAGTCTAGCGGCCGGGCGCTAATTTAGGAACGAGTTCGGGGCACTGCGGAATCCTCCGATGAGGCACAAACGCTAGCGAGCCAGTGCCACTGGAATCGAGAACATCAGCGGCCGACTCAGTGCATCAGCATGCAGTACTTCCTTGGGGACTTCATAGAACATCGTCCGTTCAGTTCTAGGCACCTTTGAGCCGCCGCGTGGGGCGAAAGTGTGCGGAATCGAGACGCCTTTAGTACAGTTTTTCGATTGCCATGCCATACATAGTTGTCAACAGCTCCTGGCGGTCTCTAACGCAAGTCAATTTTGATCACACTGCCTTTGTTAGAGTAACCGCTTCTGCTCTTAATATCACCCCAACTTTAATCTTACCATGAGGAAACCTACTCAGCTCCGGCGTATTCATTCGCCTTCCAAGCTATTATCTCCTCGTGGATTACAGTGTCAACAACGCCAGAACCCTCTGTTCCCTCTCCCAAAGCAAACATCCAGGCGCAGTTTCACTGTTCCAAGCAAACCCTTGAACCCACCACCAGCTTTCGCCTCATCCTCTATTCATCAAGTGCCATCTCGCCCTCGTCGCATTGTAGTAGGGATCACGGGGGCCACAGGAGCACCATACGCCATCGCTTTGCTGAGACTTCTACGTCAACTTGGTATAGAGACGCACGTTGTCATTAGTAAATGGGCGCTAGCGACTCTCAAGTACGAGACGACCATGACTGAAGAGCAGATCCGTTCACTGGCATACGCCAATTACACTGCAAGGGACGTTTCAGCCCCCATCGCATCAGGTTCATTTCAGCACGACGGTATGGTCATTGTGCCCTGCAGTATGAAGACACTCGCAGCTGTAAGAAGTGGCTACTGTGATGACCTGATCTCCCGGGCGGCAGATGTGACGTTGAAGGAGAATAGGCGGTTACTCATGGCTGTGCGAGAGACACCGTTGAGTGATGTCCACTTGGACAACATGCTGTTCCTACGGCGAGCTGGGGCTATAATATTTCCGCCTGTTCCTGCGTTTTACACCAACCCTGACAGTCTGGAGGACGTAGTTGACCAGAGCGTGGGCCGCATGTTGGACTTGATGGGAATTCACACGGATGGATTTGAGAGATGGGACGGATTCAAGCAAAACAAGTCAGTAGTAAGACCAGCGCAGGCTAGCAAAGCATCTCACGCCTAACTCCATTCATTATATACTTGTTCAAGACTGCCATAGAAGTGAGCCGGGACTAAGAGTAGGCCATTTATCCATAGACATTGGAAACTGACCAGATCCGAACCAGGGCATCGAGTCAGAGGAAGCTGGAGAATTAATAGCAAATGGTAAATCGTTCTCCATATCCAAGAATGCGGAGTCGAGCAGCTCCTCGGTTGCCCTCGAGAGCCTCATTGTCTGAGCCTCTTGCGAGGTGGGGATGTTCACTGATGCATTCCCATTTTGCTGCAGGTTCTGAGCTACCATGATCGTGCCTGTGGACGGTTGATTTTGACCTTCTTGCGTGGGATACTCATCCGGACGTACAACACCCATTTGCACCAGCAAATCCCTCATGCCCCCGAGACGTCTCTGCAATCTCCTCGCAGCTCTCGAGGACTTGCTGTATGTACTTGAGAGCAAGTAGGCGTTCTCAAAGTTCCTCTTTGCCTGGTCGAAGAAGTTGCTGGGTAGAGCATCGTTGACGCTGTCACGATTTCCCTGGATATATGCCAGCATGAGGAACAATAACGCACAGCCAGCAGCGAGGATATGCTGGAACGGGGGGTGTTGTTTCTGATAGACATCAGTGTACCGATTAAGACGCGTCAGCGTATCAACGATGCAGTTCACCAACTCGATGCCGGGCTCAATGCTACGTTGACTGACGGCACTTGGCACGTTTGGGAAGAAGAAGGGTCGAAGGAGAATTCCACGAACGGCGTGGGCACGGAGATGTAGGAGTATGGCCCAAGCTGGAGGAATCGTCGCATTCGCGTGTTCCATATTCTGCAGTGGCCCAAAGTCAAACTTGCCCACCGACTTCTTTCGCCATTGCTCAATTTGAAAGTTCATAAATTCAAAGTCGTCGTTGTCTTCACACAAGGTTCCCTTGGCGCCTCGTATTATGGGCTCGCTGAATTTATCGCTGATGGCAGTGAACGCTGTCATGGCCATGAGATACGGGTTCTTGAGCTACAGGCCACATTATTTAGTCACACAGTTTAGATGTTCGAAAGAATGGTTATTTACCCTTTGTCGCAACTCAGTGTCGAATTCCCAGTTACTAAAGTTCGTCGGCAATCCTGTAGATGCGCTCCATTGCCGGTCGAGAACCTGAATTGTGCTGACGATGACAGCATGTTCTTCAAGATCGGCTTCCGTTTTCACAACATGTCGTAACACATCGGTGTTGTGCAAGCCAGACTCCATAAAGGTCCGACCAGCAAGTCCACACATGCGCCAGGCATACCGGGGCATGTTCTTATAGTAGTGAAGAAGTCCTACTAAAAGTATAGTCACTATATGCTTGATGGTTGGCATTGGTGAGACAATCTTGGCATTGATCAAGTCCTTGCAACTCAGGTAGAGAGTCTCGGCAATTCGCAATGACTCGGATCCAGGTAGCGTGGACTCTACACAAAGAGCCACGGCAATAGCAAGATTGGCGACGATGAGATTCTCTTCATCCGCAGCTGATAGAATGCAGTTATTCGACGAGGTTTGCTTGGAATACCAGTATTCAACCGTTTTGACGAGCGACGCGGCATCGACAATGGGATGGTACTCGCATATCGTCTCTTGGAAAACAATAAGAAGAGAGTTAACCTCCCTAGAGCTGAGGATGTTTCTAAAGAGCAGTAGTCTCTGCTGCCGTGGCAATGACGATATCTGCAGCTGAGTAGGTCGGTTGAGGTTTCCAAATTGATCCATCTCCACATCCTCATCATCAGATTGGTTTTCTTCGATGCTGACAGGAAGTGGCTTCTCCGCCTTGGAAGCGGTATGGTTCAATAACTTGCTCTGGGCGAGGTTGAAGCTATAATCAGGGCTCGTTGGTCCGTAGAACTTACTGTTCCGGCGAGCTTGCTTGGTGCCGGCGCCAGGCGGTGTTATTAAAGACTGAGACATTTGAAGATCAGGATCCACCATCGTCTGGCTCGATGCCGTGTAGAGAGACTGAGGAGGCATGGTTTTCTCACTATTGCTTTGCCTCACTTGTGCCGCAAGAGATTCAACTTGTTGTTGGAGATTTGCTAAGAGACTTCCTAGCGATGCCGTCTGATTTCTGCTGGAAGCTTCAGTAAAACAATAACCAAACCTTTAAAAATTCAGAGGTGCTTCTTACGTATCACTGTAGGTTTGCTGTTCTTGCGAAAGATGCGGCTCAAGGTGACGCCTCATCTGGTCATCCTGCAGCTGAGCTGGATTCGCATCGCGCCAATCGTTGGTTGGCAGGGTATACACGCACTGCTGATTGCGGCCGACGCAATGTTCGCAGGGATATCTGCCGCTGCATCGACCCTTGCGTTTACGGCATGCGTCGCATGCTCGTGTGGCATATCGGACTCTCTTCTTGCCTGTGCTTTCACTTTCACCCTTTGAAGCTGCTAACCGCTTGGCTGACTGGTTTTGACTCATGGTGGTTTGACAGCAGTGGCTGAGCAGCAGACCACAGGAAAGAGTATGTAGTGGTAAACGAGACAAAATAGAATGGTTTATCCGGAGAATACAATTGAACTACAAGGCCTGCTCAGAATTTGACACAGCCAACAGTGGCGCAAATAAAATAATTGCACTGCAAGTGATCTTTATACCAAGGTGAGTCTGGCTGCTCCTCATAAACCCTTAGATACGAAACTTCACACGGAGTACATCTCAACGGGGTCTCAAATATTACCACGCTACCTATAATGCTGTATGGTCATTGGTTCACTAGCAATATTCTGCAGTAGTAATAGTGGATTTACGACCCGAGCACTAACACTGAGTTACAATGAGTTTCGTACTCTACACTAGAATGCCAAACGCGGGGAAAAAGTGGCCCTCAAACCTTAGCTGGCTTGGGGAACAAGGGGTGAAGATAAGGGATCCTACGCTGCGCGACTCAGATAACTAATCAGAAGCCAATGGTTGAGCGACAGGATGTAACCCCTCACAGATAAACAAAAGTTCAGGGCAACGAGAACGCCCGAGCTGTACGGAGTAGCGAGTTAACAGACGCCTTTGCACTGCATCTGATCTCGTGACGTGCCAAAGCGCTAACTCAAGAGCCCTTTTAAACAAATACTACCCAGTATCATTCACAAATTTAATTAAGACAAATAATCTCTAATATCTTATGCCAGGTAGTTTCGACTTGGCGATAACGGGTTGAAGGGCTATCTACCAATGCTGCTCATATCTATGCACCTTGTTTACTCTTACAGATTGAGGAGGTTGGCAATCACGGTGTTGAGAACCCGGTTCCAAGCTACGGAATGAAATCCCCACACTATCACCAATCTCAAGGGTCAAATACCGGAACGATGTCGGAAACTAGTGGGGCGTTGAGGAAGCTACTGCGTTGCCCTAAGAACGCGCTTGGCTTTACGCGAGCTTGGCGGGGCAAGACGATGTTCATGAGGGACAGAAGACAAGAACGGGAGAAAAGAGAGATAGAATGACCTTTTGACTCTTTAAATGGCAAGGCAGAGATTTAGCTCTCTGTCACTCTTATAGACCCATCACGAGTGTCCGGGACAATGTTCCGAATCCGATTCAATAGTGCTTGGCAGCTTTCCAAAAAAATATTAAATATTCGTACTTACTTTTTAACTTTAGTACGTTTATACCGTCCAGTGATGAATATCTACTTGCATTACCGAGGCCTGTATATGTTATGGGTGTGATCTAATAGATATTGACTTTATCGGATAAATTATTATATTATTATTTCCTGAAACTTCAGGTACTGGAGAACCCATAGGGTAAGCTAAGGTAAAATGATGCTAAGTTAATAATGCTAAAAATAGCATAATTAGCAATTGTCGAGTCTCGGGAAATCCATAATCCGAATGAGTTAAACTATGCTTATCTTATCATAGTTGTCACGTTCATTTTCACTTCCGCCATCTCATCTCGGCTAACAAAATTGCTCTCGAAAACTCAGGTCAAGACTCAGGCTCACTTTATTGCCGTTAGTTGTCAAAACTACCATCGCCTTGTCACCCTTTTCAAATATTATCACATCCCAAGGTAGGGTGCATAGTTGGGGGACTTGGCAGTAGTCTGTTTCAAGAGCTGTATTAATCATGTTGCGCTCCCTCAATCGTCCTACTCCATCCAAGTTACTGTCTTGCAGTACAGAAACTCATCCAAACCTTGATACCCGTTGAACCGACCAAAACCACTCTTCTTAACACCCCCATGTGGCAGGGCGAACTCATCATGCACTGTCATAGAATTGATATGCACTGCGCCCGAGTCTAACTGCTCAGCGACACGGAACGCGGTTCCCAGGTCTTCAGTATAGATCGATGCTGAAAGGCCGTATTCAGTGTCATTAGCCAGCTTGATAGCCTCGTCCTCCGTATCAAAAGTGAACCAGGAGACGCTTGGTCCAAACGACTCCTGGCGATACAAGTCCATTGATGTTGACATGTTGGTAAGTACAACGGGACGCATCTTGGTATCGACAGTGTTGGCATCTAGGTCTGTGTTGAACATGTCCAGAGGCTTCGCACCCTTGGAGATGGCATCATCAACAAGAGCCCTGTTCTTCTTGGCGGCAGCAGACGTGATAAGAACTGGAGTGCTCTCCTGAGACCCAAACATTGCGTTGACTGTTTTAGCCAGCACATTTTGGAACTCAGTGGCAATAGAGGAGTGCACCAAGATGCGTTCTGTAGCCATGCAAATTTGGCCAGCCTGGAATTTAGGTGAGCAGCTTGGCGAGACATGGAGGAGATTAAGAATTTTAACCTACGTTGAAGAAGGCGCCTCTTGCACAGTTTTCGGCAGCCTTGGTGAGATCTGCATCCTTCAGTACAATAGAACTGGCCTTACCACCAAGCTCCATGACCACTGGCTTCAAGTGTTTGCCCGCGATAGATGAGATGATAGCACCAACGCCGCTACTTCCAGTGAAGTTGATTTTCTTCATGTCGGGATGACTGACAAGGGTCTCTATCACGCCAGGAGCTTCCTGCGCCCGGTGGAACACAAGGTTAAGGCACCCATCGGGAAGACCAGCCTCACGCAACACATCAGCGATGGCCCAGTAGCAGGCTGGAGTCAGTTCTGCTCCTTTGAGAATGGCTGTATTGCCAGTGGCCAGGGGAAATGTGATTGAACGTAGACCCAGGTGAAATGGTGCGTTCCTGCAAGAGAGTCAGTCAGCTTAGCCGCAATTCATGCCAGAACACAGGCGAGATAGGTGCTTACCATGGAGCAATACCAAGATTTACACCATAGGGTCTCTTGAGGATCATGGCGCGCATCCCTTCATGAATGGACTCTGGAACACTACCAGTAACAGCACCGGCAATTCTTCCAGCGGTATCCTTCAAGCCTTCAATGGCGAGACCAAGAATGAAATTCTGGAAATCAACGCCTGCTCCCATCTCCTGATGTAGATAGTGAAGCAGCTCCTCTCTCCGCTTCTCCATGATGTTGGCAGCCGACAGGAAGATATCGCGTCGATGAGAGGGCTTGGTCTTGGACCAGGCAGGAAACGCCGCGTTTGCAGTAGAGACGGCCTCATCGATGTGGTTTTGCGAAACGGCAGAACAGTTCCAGATTACTTCGTTGTTGATGGGACTGATGGCTTGGAAGGTCTTGTCTGTTACGATGTCCTTGCCGTTGATGATGAGAGGAATGGTCTTGCTGGTGGAGAAGTTTCGTGACAAGGGGGACCTGGCTCTGCGCATCATGCGCCCTGAGGTAATGAAGCGATTCATGATGTATGAATTACAGGTAAAATTGGCTCTGTGGAAGCACTCACTTGTCAAGATTGACGTCAATTTCATTTACTTCAATGGCAAGTTCGCTCAGGTACGATGAAGTGGAGAACCGTCATACGCCGTAGACGTATACCCGTATAAACGGACATAAAGGTCATACCCACATGTGATTATTCATGGGCGATTGCTAAACACGGGCGGCGCAGCTCCGATCCCTGGTAGAGGGCCGGCCGGATCCTGCGTTAGCGTATCGGAATCCAGGACGGACAGACGGCATGCGTTAGTGCGGGCTACCCCGGACATCTCGAGAGCGGCACAGAGTTCGGAATTTAGCCGGTGAGAGATGACTTCCTATCTCAGCGGTCTTGTCTACTATCAGACCGGATGGTCGCTGGAGTATCGGGGAGCCATCTCTGGATGTCGTTGTTAGGGGACGAACTTGGCTTCGGCTCTTGGCGCATGCTGCGGGCTAAGTGTGACATCTGTGTTCCCTAATGCTAATTGCTTATTGCGTGGGACTATCAGAGCTGGTATAACAAGTGGAATGAATGGTGACATTGAGATACAGACATTGAGATACAGACATTGAGATACAGACATCGATAGTGGCTAGAAAGCGTTTTGGGAGGTTCAGGCCAACTTGAAGTGCTAAGAAATTATTATCTCTTGGCATGAAGATCATCATATTTGTGCATGGCTTGAACTTTGAATATTGAACAAAGGAATTCTTTATTTTAGTTGAATGAGTTCATTGAATGGTACTGTCTATGGCTTATCCCACGATCCCTTGAGGCGAACCTCCAAAATAGCAGAAACACCACTCTTGACCTGCTGCACAGCCTCTGGTAACAGTCTATCTAGATCATCAACAGAGTCAATGACGGCAGCCCACGCCTTGTTGCCAGACGCCGCTTTTGCAATGCCCGAAAAGTCAGGCGTTGGGTCGAATGAGATGTTGAGGTCTTTGTTGTTAATCCTGGACCCGTAGCCTGTCGGGTGAACAAGCTCCATCGAGACGCGAGGAGCGTTCCATCCTATAACGACCTCATTGTTAGAGATTGTTTCAGTCAAATCGTGCTCCTTCATCATGTACTTACCTTTGTTGCTCAACACTATTGTGAGAGTGGCAATCCTATATCTGCTGGCGACCCAGTATACTGTGCCTGGAACACCAAACAAATATGTGCCATCACCTACAATCTGAGTGACAAAGTTGCCTTTGCCCTCTCCTCCAGCTAGATAGTCAGAGGCCAGTTTGACGCCTAAGCTGGCACCGCCAGACCACCCGAGACCACCTCCACCGTTGCCGAGGATATGGCCAGGCTCATCGACCTGCAGCTGCTCATGGATGAAAGGGGCGTTAGTAATAGTCTCATGACACCAGATGGTATCCTTGGGGCAGTATTGTCGCAGTTGTGCGCACAGATATGACGTGCTTGGAGATGAGGTCGTGTCTTCTGGACGAGCAGCAGCTTTTGCGGCCTGGTCGAGGAGTTCTTTGTGCTCTTCAGCCAACTTGTTCCAGCGCGAGATGTATGGCTCCTGGCTAGTAAGTTTGGAGTACTTATCACTCGCGCGCACGTATTCATTGAGTTGCTTGAGGGCAACACCAACGTCAGCGCGATAACGTCGAGTAGCAGGAATATAATACAGGGGCATATTGGACTTGAGCGGATCCAGGTCAATGTGGAGGATTTTGGCATCCTCGCGCGGCCTGCACTTGGTCGGGATCCAAGTCACGTCGCAGTCGAGAATTAGGATAACGTCGGCCTTCTCGATAGCCGGATGCCCTCCGATGCGGACACCGACTGATGCGCGATGGCCAAAGGGGAAAGACAGTGAACTGCCCATGGCATCAAGCACTCGGACTCCAGGAATGCTTTCAACGAGCGTGACAAGCTGTGGGACCGTAGAAGGATTGCGACCAGAGTAGCCGACCAGAATCAGCGGTGACTCTGCCTCAGCCAGGGTCTTGATGATGATCTCCAGCTCTGGCTGTGGAATAGCAGAAGGCACAACAGGCTGCCATTCCTCCTGCTTCAGAGAGTAGGCAGGGATGTCTTCTTCCATGACTTCGCGCGCGCCAACCATGTAGACAGGGCCGGGAACATCACTTGTGGCAAACTGAAGAGCCCGGCTAGTCAGCTGCTTGATGTTCTTGCCCGTCTTGAACTCTCCAGCATAGCGGCAGTACTGAGCAACAATAGCTCTCTGGTCGTGCGCATCCTGTAGCCAATGGATATGTTCAGTCCGGGAACCCCTCATCTCACCCTCGAGGGTAAATGGGGAGAGTCCGGCAAAGACAAAGACAGGAGTACGAGAGCAGGAGGCGTTATGCATGGCACATCCCAGCATCTGTGTGCCGACATCAACATGTACGAGCACACATTGGGGCGTGCCAGTAACACGAGCAAATCCATCAGCCATTGACATAGCCACGAACTTACACCAACGAGTTAGAACGAATTTGTTTACCAGACGAGGAATTGAACAGGCACTCAAGACTCGAGGCACGGATCGCAAGACATACCTCGTGGGGACATGTGATGACCGTGGGGAACTTGACGTCGTCTAGATCTCTCGCCTTTGCAAGCGCCTCCATGATGGCAGGATGGTCTGATCCAAGGTTGGCAAAGACATAGCGAACACCAGCCTACAGGTCATAATAACTCAGTCAGTCCAATGTTCATTGCTTGGATAGTGCCAATACAATAATTTCTTACCTCATAAAGGGCTTCAAAGAAGGCGAAAGACGCAGAGTAGGTTGTTCTGTAACATAACAAGTTAGCCACAATAGTCAAACTCTACAGCCGATCAAAGGCTAGTCCGCAAATAATATCTACGACGGACCAAGTCATACGTACAGGCGTGCCATGGCTGGTAGGAATAAAAGGAAGATTTGATGCAAGAGGTAGTATGACGACAAGTGGAGGTTACCTACAGCTGGCGCTTGCATGCAGCATGGACTACAGCTGGCAGTTGTATATAATGAAACATGGCGTTTTGGTGTCCAGTCGGCATCTATTACCGTAACTAGTATAGTGAATGAATAGCCCTCGAGAGGGACGCATGTGGAGGAAATCTTCCGGTCGGGGCTATGGTGGCTTTGAGCCATCAACCCCACCGACTTGAATTAGCACTACGGCTTGCTTCCGAAGTCTGGAACCGATGTCTTTTCCGTTCCTACTCTTGCGCGTATTGATGTAGGATTTTCTATTGTGCGAGACTAATTCTTGTTAGGGACCCGCCATCCGGTGCTCACTGATCGTATCGGCATCTTCTGAGGGTTGATGAAGATCCCATATGTGGTCTGCTGGTAGAGTCTCCCCTTCGTGTGAGATGTTCCGCCAGCGTCATTGTCTAAATTGTAGGGTAAAAAGCCTTCTAGTGTCTATTATTTATGAGGCTCATACTATGACATCTTATTGCGCCTCTTTAGTTACGCAATGGGCAGTCAAAGCTCATCATATCGCGAAAGTTCAAAGAGGTACATCAATCTAACACATGAAAAAATCCCAATTAACTGAGGTTTAAGAAGAATCACTCTGTTACAGAAACCAGTAATTATATCGTGGAGATACTTCACGTACATCTCCTACGTAAGCCAATCTTTAGCTGAGGTCGAGTGAACTTATGGAGGTCATTGTTGGCATGCGTTAGACACCGATGGCTCATGATTACTGAAACCGAATGATGCTCAAATAGACAAGACTATCTTCCTTGACTACATAAGAGATAAACAATCAACGGACGATATTTTCATAGAATCATTTAGCCTGTACACGCTTCCTGTACTCATCCATGACGCCATTGTAATCCTGAGGAGTGTACGGGGATGTCAGCTCAGCGTAAAAGGACGGTTTGCGACGATTCTTGACGCCAAGGTCCTTGAGCAGCATATCAACATAAGGAACACCTTCAAAGACAAAGTCAGGCAGGCTCGCTCCATATCCAGCAGGGTAGCGCCATTTACCCCACTGAGTGTGCATCATGACTTCGTTTGTGATATCCTCCTGAGACTTACTTTCTCGAACCAACTTGTTGTCGAAATAAGCGGTGATCCACACTCCCTGCATCGAAGCACAGACCGCAGTTGTAACTGACGAGATCATGCCGGCAAAGGCAATGTTGCGTTTGCTAAGGAACGCAGGAGGGACTATGAAGCGGTAGTTCCGCAGAGGCTCCGCGTTGGGGCGAGGAGGAGAGCGAAGCTTAGGCTGCTGCTTGAGCTGAGGGAACTGCTTCTTCACGCGGGCGTCGAACTCAGAGTTGAGCTGAGCCTGCTCCTTGGGCCCAAACGGTAGACCAAAAGCGTGCTCGCCGAGATTGGAAAACTTGACCAGAGATTCCTTCTTCCACCCTGTAGAACAGATCATGCTATCTGCCTTGAGCTTCTTCCCGGACTCTAGAAGAACTTGGCCGGGCTCAAGACGCTTGACGTTGTCGATGTGGACGCGGATCTTTCCATCACGGACCAAGTCAAAAAAATCCTTGTTGAAGTTGAGGATACTGAGACCACTGCCAATCCAGAAGACGTCATACCACGGCTTCAGCTTCTTTGTCTCTGGGTGATTATCGTAATTGATCTGGTTCAAAACGTCGTTGCCCATTGATCTCCAAAATGAGCGCACAAACATGCGTCCAATCGCCGTACCGTGAAGAAATCGCCGGATCGCACCGAAGCCATCTTCGTGGCCCCAAGGGCAGGGGGCAAACCATGTCATGAAGCGAACAGTCAAGGTCTTGTCAATACGAGCCTTAAGGGGCGTCACCCAGCGAGGCGCAATCCACACAGGGCCGTTGGTCTCGGGCTTGACAATTAGATCAACCTGAGCTCCCGCATCAACCATGGCGTATGCAACATCATAGGCAGATTTGGCACCACCGACAACAATGGCATTCTTGACGTCCTTGACTTCATCGGCTCGAGAGCAAAACTCTTTGGCATGGAACAGAGGCTTGCCAAAGCTCTCGCTGCCTTCAAAGTAAGGCATGTTGGGGGTGGAAGTGAGGCCAGTGGCGACAACTATTCTTTTTGCTTTGATTTGACGTTCACCTTGTGGGCTTGTCACGGTAAGTTTCCAGCTATCATCACTGGTCTGCTCTGCCTGACTGACTGTGCTGTTGAATTGGGTTCTCTCAAGTATGCCATGGTTGCGGGCATAATCAGTGAGATACTTGTGCAGAACCTTGCCAGGAATGTGATCATTCTCCTCCACGCCGTATATGTCTTTGCTCATGGGAAAGTCAGGAAACTCATAGGTCCCAATCATGTTGTTGGACTTGAGACCTGGGTACAGTCTGTTGGCCGACCATGTTCCTCCAATGGAGTCATTTGCTTCGAGGATGGCAACCTTCTCATCAGGGTGCGTTTCAATGTAGGCTTTTGAGGCACCGAGGCCGAACCAACCTGTGATTACTTCAGTTGGTGTGGGTTCTACATGGTGAGGGGAGCTGTAACTCACCAGAGCCAATGACGACCAAGTCATATGATTCTGACATGTTTGGTAATGTGAGATGGAATTGATTTGGATATAGTGAGATGGACGAGACAGAGTGAACAGGCAGAGGAACTACGAAAGCAAATAGACTGGAAAAAGTGGGCGTCTTCTACGACACAGCATGGCCTGATGTTCTTTTACACCGTGATAAGCTTTCCTAATCTCATATTACAGCGATTAGGACCCCCTGCACCAAACCAACATGCGGCAATCCCCAGGCGGCATTTCTCAACCCTGCAAATCCGGAGCAAAGAATAGAATGGATAGCGTCTGCATCACCATAAGCCTAGCACTAGTGCTGCAACGGCCTTATCGGAGAGGATTAGGATATTTCGGAAGTGGCCCCACCTTTCCGACCGTTTCTGCCGTGATTACGGAACGGTCCGAAAAGGTGGATCCGGAACCCGATCGTGAGTCCGTAGGAGGGGAGAGATAAGCTGGCATGCTCGGCCCTGGTTTTAGATCTCTCCGCGCCGCGAAAGCCGGTTTGATTCTACACTTGGTAGGTCCATATTGTGGATCCCATCGAAACGCATCACTCCTTCATGGGAAACCGGCAACAGGAGGATAAACAGTGAATAAAATTGTGTTGGACTAATTATCTTAACTGACTTGTGTACTAATTTGCCCAGTTCGTGCTTCTTATTCGTAGGTAATGTGTCCGTCAATCTGCCCAGCGTCCAAACCACCCATGATCTTGATGTCTGTAGCCGTAATGTGTCTAGACGCATCGCTAAAAAGATAAATAATAGCAGGCGTAAGGTCATTTGGGTCGCTGAGGCGCCTCAATGGCGGGGCCTGGTATGGCTGTTTCGCATCCCGCTCACTCTGAGTGGCCAACACATCCCTGAACATCTGAGAATCTACGTACCCAGGTGAGATCGAGTTGACGCGAATGTTGTGCTTGGCCAGCTCGACCCCGAGTGCTTTTGTGAGCATAAGAACGCCACCCTTGGACGCGTTGTAGGATGACATGCGGCAACCTGGGATAGCGATGTGAGCGCACTGAGACGCCATCATGACAATGCTACCAGGGGTTCCTTGCTTAATCAGCTGCTTGACCACGCGCTGGACAGTGAAGTATGTTCCTCGCACCTGTAAACAAAACGTTAGACAGTAAACAGAACCTGGGGGAGGATGGCCCCTACATTAATTTCCTGAATGCGCGTGAAATCGTCCCACGACTGGTCAACAAATGGTTTGTTGCAGTTGATCCCTGCGCAGGGTAGACATCCATCAAGCGATCCGAGAGCCTCAATGGCCTGATCGACACCAGCATTTAGGCTGTCGAGTTTGGTGACGTCGGTCTGAAAGTAGTACACCTTGGTACCAAACTCGTCTTCGATGCCAGAGAATACATCCTTCGACTTACCGTGAATGTCTAAGACGGCGACATTGGCCCCCAGTTCGCAAAGAGACCGCACAGCTGCGAAGCCGATACCTCCGAGGCCACCTGTTACAATATAATTGCGACCTCGCAGCTCGAACATTGGTCGGACATTATGAAGTTTGATGTCTGCCATGGTCAGAAGTTGATGGTAAATTTGTCAAAGGATATCTTGGTGTATTGAGATTGTGATCAGATTGATTCGAGACAAACACGGAGTATCTTACCCTGGCGAGCGGAATACGCGTTGCTAACGAGGTTGGCTTCAGGCTTTATGTTGGCTGGGCCCTTTGGCTTACCCCACATACTCGTCGGACTTCTTTTTGAGAGCCGCTGCATCGTCCGTCATTCCGTGTTCTCCGGTAAAGTCCCGATCGATGAACTCACAGCAGCCTGTGACCCGCACTGGGACAAATAAGTGGCGAGTGCTTCAACTGCCGTACTTATTATCACATTATCATGGTAATTATATAAGTCGAGTGTCACGAGTGTAAAATCATGAGTTAAGGTACTTGAAGTTGAAATAGTGACCTGTAAGCTATGGTAATAAAAGACATCATCGAATATATCGTCCCATCCCTGATCAGACTTTGCGGAGACCAAACGCGAACATCTCATTCGACTCTACAGCCTCTTTATCCCTCATCTTGTTAGCAGTCTCCACACCAGCGACTGGGACACGGTATTCCATTTTCTCTTGACCCTGCGCATTGGGCACTGAATGAGGATATGGCAGGTAGGAAGGCATCAAACCCAACTGCGCTAGAACTGTTCCCTGATCCCAGCCAATATGTTCATGATAAAGCCGGTCTCCACGGATATTGACAACAGCAGTGAAAGGTATTTCAAGCTTTTGCCCTGTGGGAGGGATCCCTGGTGCACTAGTGGTAGTAGAAACGTCAGTTGGCATATTCACGGGTAGGATGTATTAGTTTGTAGACGTACAGCCAGTCAATCTGGGAATGATGAGTGCATATAAAAAGAAACTCGTCGATGACTCGATCAATGCCGAGAGATCTGCTAATGAGGTAGGTTTCCGTATCTGGAGGATTCTGGAAAATGAAGTGGTCGCGGTAGAAGGCAGTCAGCTTTTCCCGGCCAATCCCACCTGTCATCTAGGTATTACGAGTCAGCTGCTATACGTCTTTAGATGAAGATGAAAGGGAGAAGGGTGATTACCGTAGGCACATGATTGACGTATGGCTCTTGTACCATGGTGCTCATGGTGTTCTCCACGGAGCGGTTTTCGAACTCCCAATAGGTATGTTCGTCCCAGATGACTTCTAGATCGAAGTATGGTCCGTTCATAAGAGGCTTTAAGAAGCTAAGACTTCGGCTGTGAGAAACAGATTCCATGTTGTAGCTGAAGCTTTTACTGAAGGGAGTGGCGAACAAGTACGATGTTGCTTCCGGGTAGTTGTAAGCTGTCACCGCCTTAGTACGTTGCAAGCGTTTAGAGGCCTTTCCAGCAAGATGATGCAGCTGTGGGGTCTTTGAGGGCGCGATTGAAGAGATATTGTTATCCCCAAGATCACCAAAAATGACAGCACCTGAGATCTGAGGGAATGAGTCGACATGCGGAGCTACTTGGTTCCAAAGCGGCGTCGAGTATGCTGCAAGGACGTCTATTAGCTCGCCAGCTCGGCCTTTCGACAGCTCAACATTTACCTATGACACCAACGACATTCTTGGGCTCAGTAGACTTCGTAGCCTCTAGCTCCTTTAGAACCTGACTCAAAGCCTCACCAGGGTTGGCTAGTCCAGCCTCTGTGATCTCGGCGACAGTGTAGCCTTCTTCTGCCCATTTCATCAATGGAGACGGCACACATCCGTCGATGCGCAACGTATCACTGGTGGATTTGCCAGTCTCGGGCACGAGTATGATTAATCCTGGTCCGGAACCCCGTCTGCTAAGCGGTTCCAGAATTGTATGGCTGGCTGTAGGGTTGTGCAGACGAGTAGTTGGGGGAACTGGAGGCGCAGAGAAATTGTTTTCCGACATGATCAGTACCCGTGAAATTATGCAATGATTTTGTTGCAGTTTGCTACTAGGTTTGGCATTGAACGCAAGTTTGCTGGTATAGTGCTTCACGGTTCCCCTTATGAAGGCGGAGTCTGTGTCACCTTGTGATATACGGATATACGGTTCAGACAGATCGGATATTCGGCCTTTCCATTTTGGAACAAAAGGGCAGCAAAGCTGCAGGGCCAATTCGCTCTTTCCTTCGTCTGAATCCCTTGTTCACGACGTCTAACCTGCTACAACTATTCCGCACCAGGTACAGTGGTGGCATTGCTACTGAAGCCCGGCGGCTTGTGTGGGCCAGATACGGTTCTACGGATCGGAGTTCCGTCGCATATGGATGTGAATCATATGATAAATGGAGTTTCCGAAGCTCAGGCCGTTCCGCTCGAACATGATTGGAGATACAATCCAACCACTCATCACTGTTTTGCCCCGCTTCCTTCGGCTGTCATATCCCACCCGACTTATTTCCTATCTATGTGCGCTGCACAAGTCATTTTACAGTGTCCGAGTCATAAAACCCCAATACGCGATTATGGAAAGCCTGTTCTCTAGGTCAGATGTGCACTGAGATCTTGAATTGACTCGATCCATGAGTGTAAGGTCTAATTGGACATCGGTTCCAAGATTACGATGGTTCCACACCAGAAGCATTATCACGGGAAGGTTCAACAAATGAAACAAAAATCGGGATAGAATTAATTATCATAAAAAGCAATCGATTGTAATGCTACCTGAATTTGAGACTCTTGTGGCCAATCTTCTCAAATGATGGGGCAACAGATGATAGATGGAGAAGAGTATCCAGCAGAATTCGACACGACTCCTTGAATGAATCGATGATCTTAGTTCTGCCATCTGAAGCCCGGGTGTCGCCATTCAAGGTCTTGGATCTCCGAAAAAGTCTTGCCAGCTAATTCCCTCTCCACATCCACTGCTGACCTTCTCTTGTTACTCCTCTCAATCGCGAAGTACATACATATGCCAACCAAAAAGATAGATGACTGTGCTGCCAGATTGAGACCGTTACCGATGCGATACTCTGGACCATCGAAAGGGAGGAATGCCCAAGTTGATACCAAACCTCCAATGTTACCAAGCATCACGTTGAAGGCGACCGCAGAGGACCGAGAAGTATCTGAGATGACGTTTGCTGAGACGTGCGCATTGGGGAATGCTCCCAACGCGAAGATGCCACATACTGGCAGAAATGTTGCTGCATAGCGCACATGTGGGTTAGATGTTGCTAGAAACATGCTGTACCCTATCATTGAGAACGGCGCACAGATGATAAGGAAGATGCCGCGCTTGTCCACCTTCCAGCTTATATAGCAGAAGAGCATGCACATGATCGTGCCCAGAACGTTGGGCGGAACTGTGAGGAGCTGCTGGTTCTGGACAGAGTGCTGAGGAAATATTGTGCGAACAATGGTAGGAAGGAAAAAGGACAGGCCATGAACAGTGATGAAGTTGAAGAAGGATATCACGGCTGTTGGGATCACCACTGGGTTTAGGATGCCTCGGAGCATTCTCTTGGTGCCAAACTTGTCGATAATCTCGGTTGTTCCGACTCTCTCTGACATAATTCTTATATTTGCCAATTCCTTTTGCTCTGGTGACAACCAGGTCGCAGTTTCGACCCTATCGGTGAGCGTGAAAAATGAGATGACACCCACTGCACAGGTCACAGTACCTTCAATCGCTGGAATCAGCAATGCTCGTTCGTCAAGAAATCGGTAGATGTGGAGGGTCTAACCTTCGATGGCAAAAATCATTCTCCACGAATGCAAGGAGCCGAAGCTTTCAAGACGCAGAATGGCAGATGCAAGCAGGCCTCCAAATGCACCCGCCAAGGACGCCGAGATGATAACGAACGAAAGCCGAAAGGTCAGTTCACTGCGCCGATACCAACGCGAGAGGTAGTACACATTTGCCGGCAGCATTGCCGCTTCGAAAATGCCCAGTAAGAATCGTAGCCCGCACAGAGTCGAGAAGTCATTGACAAAAGCCGTACAGGTAGTGCAGATACCAAAGCCGAGACAGCATGCAGGTATAAACCAACCTGGTCCTATCCTCTTGCACAAAAGATTCAGAGGGATCTCAAACAGGATGTAGGAGATGTAAAAGATGGAGAGGGAAATGTTAAAGTCATAACCTTGCATCTTCAGGTCGGCCTCCAGACCTGCGATCTTGGCGTTGCCTACAGAGTCATGAGAAATATGCTCGAGAGTGAGTGTCTTGATATGCTCACCAATGTTTGCGCGATCAATAAAACAAAGCACTGAATCATAAGTTCGTCAGCTATGCCTCGTCTACAGCTTTGGATTCTCGAGACGTACAGTAAATGATAGTAACCGTGGGCAGTATACGAAGATCCATCTTCCATCGAAGTTTGGACTCCAACGCTTCGTCGATGGGTAGCGCCGGTTGGCCATATCTGTAACTTGTGCTTAGTACTCTCTTTCCATCGATTCTAGATTTGTCTTGGCGTTCTACTGGTGCACTGTGCCCTCCTCGATATCTTGCGTATCTGGAGACTTCTCGAGGGAGAATGGGACTTCAGGTTTGGAACGTGTAGGTGATGGCTCCATCATGGCAATAAGAAAGGACCATCAAGTGAAGTTGAGTAAGTAAAGAATAAGGTTTTAGAGTTTAGGGCTTGTTCGGACTTTTATAGCTAACCCATGGGATTGGTTTGTTATAAATGGCGATATTCCGATACGACCGAAATAAAGTTATGAACGGAATTAGTTCATATGCTTGGCATTGTTGGTATCACGTACTTGTTCAAGCAGGGTCTTACCCGACATACAGTCGGATAAGGGAATGCGGAAGACTATTGGGTGCTATCGTTCCGAAGCTTAGGAATAAGATAGGAAACGCGGCAAAACTGCTCCCTAATTCGTCCTGTACTGCATATACAATAGACGAGAAGCAGATAAGGTAAAGTACTCAGCAAGCACACGAGGCGGCAATTAACAGGGCCTTGTTGATTATGTGGATACTGCTTTTCTGGTTTGCATGTTCCTTATTTGGCAGTGTTCGACGCCAAGTACTTCTCTCTGGTAAGTCATCTTCACAGTGAGTACTGACTTAATGATCTTCAGTCT